ACCTGCAAGCCAAACTACATTGGGGATGGATTTACCTGCCGTGGCAATATCTATCAGGTAAAGTACAACCTGTTTCCAAGAAGTCAAGTCTACTTCTCTTACTATTCTGAGAATCCCAGTAGCTAAGCAATGCATAAGGGCTTTGTAAAATGTAAACCATTATAAAAAGGTGAAAGATGATTTCTATGAAAATTGTCAATGAAAGAAATGTTATCTACCCATGGGAATTCATTTGACGTGGGAAGGAATGTCACGTACAAAGGTTGATGGTTCTGGAGTCAGATCCGCTGGGGTTTGAAGTCAGCTCTGCCAGTTAGTGACGTTGTGACTCTGGGCATATTGCTTCACTCTCTACGGATCTGTTTTCTGTGTTTTCACATCTTAAAAAAGGATAATAATGGTGCCAACACCATCTGGTTGTTATAAGAATTAAATGAAATAAACTGTGTAAAGGACACCCATTGCACTTGAAGGATAAGACAGTATTGTAGTTTCAAGTTTTTCTTATTTGGCTTACAGAGGGGCTTAACAGAGTAACCAAATCTGACTTATTAAACATTTGAACTTTTTAAAGTGCTCCTAAAGCTCAGAAGCTTCTGGAAATGCCTGGACCTTTCTTTGATAAATCAGATGGAAAGTCCAGAAAGGTTTCATAGCTTATAGTGTATCCACATACTCACGCTGAACCTCAATTGTAAGCCTATTGGTGAAATTTCATCAAGGCCTGTTCTTGCAGATTTCCAATTGAGGGAAAGGCAGAGACTCATGAGAAATCACCCTTTGACAACCTGCTTCATTTACAGGCATTAAGTGAAGCCACTGTCTTTGTTTACAGGAGCTGCCCAAGAATCCAAAAACATCCCAGTATTTCTTCCAGGTGCAGGTAAGAATATGTGTGTCTTTCTACCTGCAGGAGTTGGTCCCAAGCCAGATAGAGCATAAACCTGCAGCATCCAGAGGCGATGGGGTCAGGAAAGCCTAGGGTCCTGGACTTCTGGAATGGGCCCTGTTGTTGATCATTCTCAGGCCTCAGGTGGGCAGCATAAATGAGACCAATGGATGCTGCATTGGGTCTTTTGTGGTAGATGAATATAGTATATGTAGGCTCAGGGATAGAATTCACGTCTCCCATGTGTGAGATCCAGGTTCACTTCCCTGCCAACACCCCTCCTGTGCAGCCACCACCTATCTGTCAGTGGAGACTTGAAAGCTGCTAGGCTGCTGAATAGGTTTCAATGGAGCTTCCAGACCAAGACAGACTGGGAAGAAAGGCCTGGAGATCACCTTCAGAAAACCAGCCAGCGAAGGCCCTATGGATCACAGCAGAGCAGTGCCCAGTCCACAACTTCTTATGGGGATGGCACAGAACTGGACAATATCTTGTTCCATTGTGCATGAGTTGGAGGCTAACTCAGCAGCAGCAAATAACAGCCTGTGTAGTATACAGAATGAAGCATGAAAAACTTCCATCACACCACTGAGAAAAGAAGCATAATTGGGGCAATGTTAAGTCTTTGGATACAAAAAATGAAGTTTTTTGTACCCAAAGACTGCATGTCATACATCAGAATAAGTTCCAAATATATCAAAGAATACCCATTGCCATTGGGTTGATTCTGACTCATAGTGACCCTACAGGAAGAGGAGAACTGCCCCACAGGGTTTCCAAGGCTGTAAATCTTTACAGAAGTGGACTGCTTCATCTTTCTCCCATGGAGCAGCTGGTGGGTTTGAGCTGCCGTCCTTCTGGTTAGCAGTTGAGTGCTTTAACCGTTGTGCCACCAGAGCACCTTACAGGGCCACTAAACCAAAAACCAAAACCAAACCGACTGCCATTGAGTTGATTCCAACTCATAGCAACCCCCATTGGGTTTCCAAAGCAGTAAATCCTTACAGAAGTAGATTGCCCTGTCTTCCTTCCATGGAGTGGCTGGTGGGTTTGAACCACCAACATTCTGATTAGCAGTCAAATGCCTTAGGCACTGCACCACCAGAGCTCCTTACTGTGCCACTTAAAAAAAAAAAAAACTCACTGCCATTGAGTTGATCCCAACTCATAGCGACCCCTCCTTGGGTTTCCAAGGCAGTATCTCTATGGAAGTAGATTGCCCAACCTTCCTTCCAAGGAGTGGCTGGTGGGTTTGAACCGCCAGCCCTCTGGTTAGCAGTCAAATGCCTTAGGTACACACCACCTGAGGGCTTCTTTGTTAAAGAATAAAATATTTTAAAACTAGAAGAATAAAATCATTGAAAAAAAAAACTAGAAGAAAATATAACCATATGAGCTTAGAATTGACAAGAAGATAATTAGAACAGTTAAACAAATCATCTTAGTATTTATATTTGCATTACTTCCCAATCATGTCAAGTATTTATATGTGGAAGAAACACTGGATAAGAATACCTAAAAACACAGAGGTTGAGTCTAGGTAGCACGATTACGGGTAGTTATTTTTTTTTTGGCATTTTCAAAATCTTTCATATAATAAACATGTATTAATTTTATAACCAGAAAAAAAAAAAAAAACTTCAATAACAGAGAATCTGTATTTGAGTTTTACTCAAGACTGAAACACAGATCTCTCCATCCAATGATCAGTCCTTTCTTCAACTATCTTTCTCTGCTACTGTTTGAGCCCCGTTACATTTATGTTAAGTAAGTAGAATGGGGCCCCTTGCCCTCCTTCCCTCAGGAGCATTCTTTGCGAGAGCTGGCTGGCCCGGGCACCTTCACCGTCTTCGTACCTTTATCAGCAGCCTTTGAGGAGGAAGTCCGGGTAAGCACGTGCCAGTGGGCAGATGGGAGAGGTCTGGAGTTGGAACACAGTCTTTGGGCCTTGTCTTGGAATTTACATTGGAGACTTCCTGAACAAGGGAATTAGGACCAGCTGGAGCTGACCACCCATGAAAGCAGTTGTCCTGGGCATAAGGTCTCCCTGTCAGGGGAAGCATCCAAGTGAATTTGGGGTAACTACTGGCCAGAGACACTCTAAAGGACATTCCTGAATGGGGTAGGAGGCTGGAGAGGATCAAGGCCCAAATGATCCAAAGCTCCCATGGACCAAAAGAAAAAGGAGGGAGAGAGAAAACTGGATTAATGAGATTTAAATCAGTTCTTTTCTGCAGGACTTCACAGCCTTGACTGTTGTAGCACTCTTTGGGATGTTTCAGACTGAGTTACTCATTAATATAATAATAGCTAACATTCATCAAATACACCAGGTGCAGTGAGTTTGGTTTGGTTTGGTTCTGAGTGCCTGACTTAGACTCACCCATTTAGTCCTCACAACAATCCTGTAAGCTAGGTACTATTATTATCCCTATTTTACCTTTGGTGACGTCAAGGGAAATAACTTTCCCAAGGTCACATGACTAGCAAGTGGTGAAACCAGGACTCTCTGATCTGTTGCAGCTTAAAGAGTGGGACAAACAGGGCGTACTTCCTCAGGTCCTTCGGTATCATGTGGTTGCCTGCCACCAGCTGCTTCTGGAAAACCTGAAATTGACCCCAAATGTAACTTCCCTACAAGGGGAGTCAATTGTCATCTCTGTCTCTCAGGTAAGCAAGGCCGCCTAAGGACGGTACTCACCCTCCTGGGGCCCTCTCTCCTCCTCCTCCTTAGAGTAAGCCCCGTAATGGTAGTAACAACAAACGTATGTCCATGATGTCTATGTATCAGATATGCACTAACTCATCTGATCCTCAAAACAGCCCCATAATGTAGATACTATTGCTATTCCTAATTTACAAATAAGGAAACTGAGCTCAGAGAGGTTAAGTAACTTGTCTAAGGTCACAGAGTGAGTAAATTGTAGAGCTGGAATTGAACCTCAGAAGCAGGGCAGCTCCAGGCAGTTATTGGTCAGACACTGGAGAGAGATGAAAGCTTTTGATCAAAGCCACTTGGCCATGCTGGTCCTGACCCTCCCTGCTATGGAGGTTTGGCCACTGGTAGAATTCACTGCAAAGAGGAAAAAGCTAAGAGGAGGGGGTGGCATACATGTTGAAGAGAAGCCAAATTTGAACTGCTTTATTTAACTCAAATTTGAGAATCACAGTGAAATGACTGTTTTGGTCAATTATTTACTATTAAACTCTCTGGGTAAAAAGTACATTCTTATCTCATTTTAAAAATAATAATAAGAAGAAGATGCTCAGGTAACTTAAAGCTTCAGATTTTGCCCACAGCTCTCCTTAAACATTCACTTTCATGACAACTTAACTGTTGGTGTAGCCTTCTGGAAGAAGTGATTTTGTGTCTATTTCTCTTTGTATTCATTTCTTTTTTTCTGTTTTGGTTAATTTCAGGACACAGTATATTTAAATAACAAGGCTAAGATCATATCCAGTGACACCATCAGTACCAATGGAATCATCCACATCATAGACAAAGTGCTGTCTCCCCAAAACATGCTTATCACCCCCAAAGATGCCTCTGGAAAGGTTCTGGTGGGTAAATGCACTGTTATATGCTCAGCCTGGAGTGACCCATGATACACCATTATCTCTACTCTGATCTTAAGGCTTCCTTTGAGACATTTTAATTTTGATGCTTCAATTCCAAGCTGTCATTAAAAGCTTAATGAATATCATTCTTAGTAAGAAATAAATAAGTAAAATCCTATTTTATAATACATATATGGATTTTATATGTATTTTTTAAGTAACCACAAGGGCTAATGGTCAATCTTGCATTGATTTGGAGGATGGAGACATAGATATATGATACACTGATAGACAGATAGACAAACAGAAAGAGATATCACAGATACACAATTACATAAAACTAAACTTAAAGTAAGAGCCTGGATAGAGAAGAAGAACAATGTGGAACAAAACTCAAAATCATTTTTTTAAAAAAAAAAGGACCAGGTTTGCTGGTCTCAGAGAGCCTGATAGAACCACTGAGACTACAGCCCCTAGCTACGCTTCTGGTCTGGAATTGAATCCATACCTGTGGCTTCCAGCCAAACAAAAGACAGGCATATGAGCTGAACATTTACCTGAGGTAAATACACTCCTTGGAGAGGGCAATCATAGGAGAAAAAAAGGGCTGCTTATGCACAGGGAGACAGCTCAGGGGGCAGGAGTGCATGGAGGGTGGACACAGGGAAGAGGTAACTATCGGGAGGAAGTGGGAGGGGAGCTGTTGCATTGGGGTCAATTGTAGTCAATGTCATGAGACAACGTGTGTGTGAACTGCTGTATGGAAAGTGAATTTTCTCTGTAAACTTTCACCCTAATCACAATTTAAAAAAACATAATAATAATAAAGTAAAGCTCTTTCTCAATTGATGGGAGAAGGCCATTTTAAGTTTTAATATTATTTATTAATGTTGGTCAGGATTCTTCATTGCCAAGAACAGAATCCACTATGCCTAGCTTAAACAAAAAGGAAATTGAGTGTCAACAAATCTTTTGAAAGGCCAGAGCTTAATCAGATGCTGCATGGCTGGGAATAAAGCATCCCAAAGATGTCTGCAAGGAGACTTGCCCCTAGCCTCACCTTCTGGGACACTAAAGACTGAACACCAGATGCAATTTTTACCGCTGTGCAGGATCTAATCTTGTGTGATAGATGTGATCTGCCTATAATCAGTCCTCACTGCCTCATGTTGTTTCTTCCCACCACCAAGTCTCACACAGGTGCTTCTGCATGGTGGGCTCTATGGCCTGTGAAACTCTAGCTACAAGGGAGTCTGTGGAACCGTTGTGCTGTTTTCCAGCCTCTTTAACGCAGAAGGGCATGGGTAGAACAGAGGTGGAGTGGGTGCTGGTGAGCCCATTACAGTGCCTGCCATGTGGCTTTTTCTTTATTTTATTCAGTTGAGCTTTTGTTCAAGTGCTTCATGAACTATATAAGAAAAGGTATCATTCTTTTTCTTATTATCTTTGCAGCAGAATCTTACGACAGTGGCAAAAAAACATGGCTACACCAAATTTAGCAAGTTAATACAGGTAAAAATAAATAAATAAATAAATAAAAACTGGGGGAGAGTTCATTCAGGGGATTAGCTACCTGTAGCTTTTTGGATTCAGTTTTGATTTTGGTCTTTAGAGTTTGGGTTTGCTATTTCTGAGGTTTTTTTTTTTTTGGTGTTGTTTTTTGTACCAGCCAGTTGTTATGGGTTCTGTATGGGGAAGTCCTGAGTTTCTGGAGAACAAATAAATACATTGTCTTCGACTCCATATTCAAAGTACTGAGTGGTTTGTTCAGCTGAGTAATATACATTGGCTGAGTTAGAATTAAAGTATTTGAGGTTGGGAACAGGGACCAGAACTAGCATCCCTGTGCCTGTCCCTGTATCAGGTGCTTCATCTCTGTAATTCAGCCCTCCTGCCAACAAGCCTGGGAAGTAGGAATTTTGAGCTCCATTACAGAGATGCGGACGCTGAGGGAGAGAGTTAGGGAATCTGCCTGTGAAACAGGTGGAAATGGAAGTCACAAGCATATCTTTCTGACTTCAGAGACCATTCCCACAAACTGAGGAGAGAAATTTCTCATTCAAACAACAAATTGCAGAGAGTCAGACAGAAGGCCCAGGATCCTCCAGAGGCTGCCCTCCCCCAAGCAAACACCAAGAAATCTCTGAAGGGCTCTGAGAACCCTGGGGTCCCCCATAGCACAATCCATAAACCACTGCATTAGACCAGTAATTCCCCAAACAGTCTGGATCGCAGACTCTCTAGGAAGCATTTTAGAAATGACAGAGTCCAGGTGTTCCAAATCACAATCTCCAAAGGTGTTACAGATGAGTCATCTTTGCCCAGCCACCCCTGAGTACTGTGTTGTTGTTGTTGTTGTTGTTATGTGCCCTCGAGTTGGACCGACTCATAGTGACCCGTTCTTGGGTTTCCGAGGCAGTATCACTACGGAAGTAGATTGCCCCATCTTCCTTCTGAGGAGTGGCTAGTGGGTTTGAACCGCCAACCTTCTGGTTAGCAGTCAAGTGCCTTAGGAACTACGCTACCAGAGCTCCTCCCTGAGCACTAGGGGCTGGTTAAACAAGAGATTTCGAAGAAAGTTAGACAATTTCTCTGACTCTCAATAGAAAGGGATAATAAGGCCAGCTTAACAGGATTGCTGGAAAGATTAAAAGAAAAAAAAAAAAAAGTCTATATACTCCACATGGGCTATAGAAGGCTGTCAGAATAATTCTTCCCCATTCATCTGTTAATTTCTTTGGGGGTATATAGGATTCAGAAATCTCGTAATTACATAGGGGTATGTCATTATGATATAGATTTCAATTTTTAAAATGAAATATGAGGAAAATAACCTGGTCTCTGGAAATCAAAATATTTGGGTAGGAATAGTAGTTCTGGGGGCATAATGCCTAAGGCATTTGACTGCTAACCAGAAGGCTGGCAGTTCAAACCCACCAGCCACTCCTTGGAAGGAAGGTTGGCCAATCTACTTCCATAGTGACACCACCTCAGAAGCCCAAGGAGGGGTCACTATGAGTCAGATCTGACTCCACAGCAGGAGTTACTCTCTTTTCCAAGAAAATGTGGAGCAGAATGGCAGGGGTGTGATGAACCTCTGGTTTCTGATTGCATCCCTTTTGTCCCAAGAAGCCTGGGATGGAGCACGGAGGCACCCTCTGCCTTCCTTTGGTCCTTAGAGACGTCCACCCACATAACATAGTTCTGCTGTGTGGTGTGTGCCATGTGGAACTATTTCCCGTGTTTCAGGATATGGGCTTGCTGAGTCTCATCACTGATCCCATGCACACCCCGGTCACTCTCTTCTGGCCCACGGACCAAGCTCTCCAAGCCTTACCAGCTCAACAACAGTATTTCCTCTTCAATCAAGAAAACAAGGACAAGCTGATGGAGTACCTGAAGTTCCATGTGATCCGAGACTCCAAGGTATTTTGTTTCAACACAGAAGTGAGTGAAGGGATGCCCCAGGAGTGATAAAATCCAGGCACCAAGGCATTGTACCCAGGAATAGTCAGTGTGGTGGGAGAGAGGTCTGAGCACCCTCACACCCATTGTGTCTTCCTCTGACTGGCCAGGGTCAATTGACCCTTTAGGGGCCTACTGTGCCAGATCTTCCAGGCAAAGGAAGAAAGGAGAAGATACACCCTGACTTGTGTATTAACTTCCTGGGGCTGCCATAACAAACTTCTACAAACTGGTGGCTTCAAACATCAGAATTGATTCTCTCACAGTTCTGGAAGCTACAAGTCTGAAATCAAGGTGTGGGCAGGGCCGTGCTCCCTTGCCTCTTCCTAGCTTCTGGTGGCTCCAGACAAGCCTGGGTATCCCTTGACTCCTATACGCATCACTCTAGTCTGTGCCTCCTTGAGAAGGTAGTCCCTATACTTCCTAAATATCTCAGGAAGAGGTACTGCCCATCCAGCCTTCTACAGAACTTCAAGAGAAAGAAAGCAAAGACTTCCTGGGTTGCAGCGCACAGGCTTCGTTCTGTTTCTTGGGCCTACCATTATTATATTTTACTTTAAACCATACCCAAGAGCGTGATTCTTTTCTTGTACTGCAGATCAACTTTTACTCCTTCCTAGATCACATGGCAAAAAAATAGCTGCTGGTGACAGCTCCCAAGGTTCTCCAGATGAAGTCTTTCTCTCCCAGTCCTAAAATTTCAGGCAAATAACTGATTAATCATCTGGGATCAACTATGACTGGAGAAGCAAAGCCACATAGGAACATGGAAGCCCCTTCTAAAACCCTGTCACTCTGGGTCCTCAACCAGGACCCATGTTTCTATTCAGGAGTGAGTCTCTCGAGTCCAAGATACCAAAAGCCCTAGCTTTGGTTAATTCATAGCATCCTATGCCATCTCCCAGCACTTAACCCACTGGTCCTGTCCCTGGCTTCATAGAGCAACATACCATGCCCCATGGACTCCCAAGCATAGATGGAGGATGGAAGGGCTAGTGAACCCAGACCAGGTGACTGAGACTTTCCCTCTAGAAGGAACTTCCAACCTCCTAGATAATGCTTCCCATGATTCCTCTTGCTCTTCTTCTTTTGTTTTGTTTTTAGTATATTTGTTGTTGTTCTGAGGTTGTTATAACATGCATCTGAATCTGGTTTATTGGCAAAGGTCCTTTGGGCCTTTCTTCACCCAAATTTGGAATACTAAGTTGGCACCATTGCTCCAACAGGTTTTAGCAGTGGATCTCCCTAGATCTGCTGCCTGGAAGACCCTGCAAGGTTCAGAGCTGAGCGTGACGTGCGGAGCTGGCAGGGACATTGTGAGTACTGCCACCCAGGTGGGGCATGGGGACACATTAACAAGCCACTTCCCAGACTTCCTGACCATGCTCCCACAAAGAGAAGTTTACTTTCCTTCCATTGAGGGCAAGCTCATTTTCTCTCACTGCCTGGGGTGTGTCCTCTTAAAGTAAGTGGAAATGGAAAACCTCTTAAGACCTTGCCAGCCTGACCCTTTGTCACAGGTGACAAGAAGTCCCCTTATACTTGTGGAGAGCCACTTTCAGGTTCTTTTTTGGGGGGGGTGGAGGGATAGAGCATTTATTTTCCAGTGTGAGTTAATTCCCTGAAGCAGGAATTTCACTATCATTGCTTCCTCTTACTTCCCAGCCCCACTGTGGCCATGCCCCAACCCTCTTACATGGCTTTAACTGCTAGATCAGCTAACAGAGACCAAGATTGCAACTTCCTCCTTCCTGGTCAGTTGGTGAACCAGTCTATTTCCCATATTCCATACAATAGATGGGTCTGATAGGATTATTTCAATTGCGTATAATGGAAACCCCAATATAGTAGTGGCTTAGATACACAAGAATGGATCTCCCTTGTAAAAGAAATCTGGAGGTAGCCAACCCAAGGCTAACATAGCAGCTTCATGAGGGAGTTTCTTCTTTCTGCTCTCCATACATAGTTCCAGCCTCAAAGTCACCTCAAGGTCCAAAATGGCTGCTGGAGCACCAGCCATCATATCTACTTCCAGTCAAGAGGAAGAAGAAAGAAAAAGGGATACAACCCCTAGATGAGTCAATTCCCTTTAAAGAACCTTCTGAGAAGTCCCATACAACATTCTATTTAGATCTTGTGATGAGAATCCCTTTGGGATTTGCATTGGAACTGCATTGAATTTTATACCTAAATTTATACCTAAGTTTTAACATCTTTATCTTCCCACATTTAGAAGGTCATCCTAATGTACTTGCACTCTTGAGATCAGCTGTCCTATGTCCATAGACCAAAGAGGACATCTATCAGAGAAAAAGTATGACAGTATCCACTGATTATTATTCTGTGTACTAATAGAGATTTCAGAACACTATTTAGCCACTCCTCGGAAGGAAGGTTGGGCAATCCTACTTCCGTAGTGATACTGCCTCGGAAACCCAAGGAGGGGTCACTATGAGTCGGGTTTGACTCGACGGCACATAACAACAACAACATTCAGTCTTATCTTTATAATAACCCTATACATTAAGAATTATTAACACTATTTACCTGGTGGAAAAAGGCAAACCTCAGAGAAGTTCGGGGCCTTGCCCATGTTCAGAGAGTAAGTGGAAGTGTCAGGGCTTCAACCACGCTTTCCAGGTGTTCCTTCTACTAAGTCACACTATTTCCACCCCATCAATAGATGCTGAGGTTTACCCTTCTTTCTTCTCACAGGACTTCTTTTTTACTTTTTTTGGGGTGGGGTGGGGAGTGTGTCCATCAACTTACTACATAGTGATCTTGGGGAAGGAAGCCCTAGATTTGTTGCAAGCATTAAGTGAAATAATGTGTCTACAGCATCATTTGGACAAGGCCTAATACATGTGAAAAATAAGTAATCATTCAGCTCCTCCTCACTTACCAACTGTCTCTTCATCCAGCATTTCCTATTTATGACAATAGTAAAAAATCTGATCATTTTGCACATTAATAATGTACGTCTGGCATTAACAAACACCTAAGTGCTAGGCAAGAATAACACTGGCTGTGAAGGTTAAGGTTATGGATCACCTTGGCTGGGCCATGGGTCTCCGTGGTTTGGCAGTTATGTAATGACATCATTTAGCAGTTATGTAATGATGTAGTTATCCTCCATTTTGTGGTTTCATGTAGTAATCCTCCATTTTTGCATAATGCCAAATTTCACATAATGACCTGTTCTTTGGACCTTGGCCATGTCAACAAGTAAGGAATGGGTGTACTATTATTCTCATTGTAAAATGAAAGCTCATCACTTGTATATTTTAAAAAGTTGTGCCAAGAGCATCACTAGATCCTGGCACTAAATAAGAAAACTCAGTTACTGCACATCAAGTAGCTATGTCAGCAAAGTTTATCCCAAACAACAGCTAATCATCCCTGCTCCATCCTGTCACCCCCACTGCCCATGTTTCTACCTTAGGAGAAGGAGAGGCAGTGTGGCAAAGTGGTCAAGAGAGTAGGCTGGGAAGCTAAGTGCCTGAGTGTGAATGCCTATACCAACCCTTTCTGTGTGACCTTGGGCAAGTTTCTTAACCCCTCACTGCCTCTGATTCCTCATCTATAAAATGAAAAACAAACCAGCCTCAGAAACCCAAGGAGGGGTCGCTATGAGTCGGGTTTGACTCGACGGCACACAACAACAACAACAACAGAGTACATCCTCCTTAGAGTGAGGATGGTGAGACTTCATCTTGTTCACTTTGGGTACATCATCAGGAGAGTCCAGAAGCTAGAGAAGGACATTATGCTAGGTTAAGTAGAGGGTCAGAGAAATTGAGCGAGATGGTCAGGAGATGGATTAACACAGTAGTTGGAACAATGGGCTCAAATGGCACAGGACCAGGCAACATTTGATACTGTTATACATAAGTTGCCATGAGTTGGAGCTAACTCAACAGCAACAAATAACAATAATACAATGGGTATAAAAATAATGGTATCTACATCCTAGGGTTGTCATAAAAATTCAAAGAATTTGCACAGATAAAGCACTTATAACAGTAGCTGGTATGTCATAAGTTCTCAGTGTGTTCATTTTGGGGTGTTTTTTATTTGTTTGTTTTGGTTCTATTTTTGTTTTCAGTTCTTTCTGAATCTCACAGTTGCTGGTCTGGGAAGAAGAGAAGTCTAAGAAGGATTGTTGACTGACTTCTTTCTCCTTCTCTCTCTCTCAGGGCGAGCTCTTTCTGAATGACCAAACATGCAGAATTGTGCAGCGGGAACTCTTGTTTGACCTGGGTATAGCCTATGGCATCAACTGTCTGCTGATCGACCCCACGCTGGGGGGCCACTGTGACACTTTTGCTAGTTTCAATGTCTCGGTCAGTCCCCAAAACAAGGGAACCTTGAGTCCAAGAATAGTAGAGTGGCTTCTGTTGTGGAACCACTAAAGGCTGGTCCTCAGAGAGCCCAGGACCCAAGAGATCTGAGGGCCAAATGACTGTGTATTTCAAATTCAGAATTACTTACACCTACTTAGCTCTACACTGGCCTGGCACACTCTCACTTATCCACCTGCCCACCCATCCATTTATTCCTTGTTTTAAGGAAATAGTCATTGGGTATCAACCATGAGTAATTTTCAAATCTATCCATCCATTCATTCATTCTTTCTTTCAACAACTAGTTTATTTTTTTAGTTTCTGCAATTAAGCCATATGAAATTGTCATACTTGACCATTTTTGACCTACAAAAATGATAATTTCATGATTCCATCCCTACACTTCTATTCCTTCACCTATGCATTCAACAACAAGGACTGAGCTTCCATTCTGGGCCATCCACGATGCCAGGCCTTCTCACATTTCATACTCATTCATCCATCCAGCACCCAGTTACTAAGTACCACCTTTGGGCCAGCCATTTTGCTCTGTGCTCATTTTCTATGCCCACAATAATCTTGGAAGTAGTTATCAACTCCTTTGTTTATTTAGAAATTGAGTCTCAAAGAGGTGATGTGACTTCACATGGCAAAGTCTGAGACCAATTGTTATCAGTACCTTGTACCTAGTAGGCACTTAATAAATCCCCAAAGTATTTTAGGATACCAGTCAGCCAAAATAAGAGATGAAACCAATTGTCCCTTCTGCTATAGGGGCTGTGGCCTTCAAAATTTCCAACGTATATTCACACACATTTTTCAACTGATCATCTCCCCCTCCCCTGCACCAATTCCCTGAAAATCAAATAGCATCAAGAATTACTATCATCTATCATTTTATAGATCAAAAAACTAAGGATCAAAGTATACAAGTGATTGGCCAAAAGTATCACAGTTAATTTTATAATGGACTCACATATATATCCACATTTTCCACTGCCACTATCCACTAAATCTTCATAACACTACCCAGATCTCGCTCTTTATAACAGAGAATTTATGCCCTCAGAAAACCACAGCAAGGAGTTAATGTCTATGGCAAAGTTCCAGTGTCTTTTATTTTTATATTCTTGATCATAGCCCAACCTTATTCAAGATTAAGTTCTTAATCATCCCATTAAGGTATTACCCAAGCACATTTTCTTATGTTTTCCAACACTCTTGATTGTTAAGTGTTTATCTTCTTTCATACCAGGGGGATTGTGGGAGCTGTATCTATACTCCCAGCTGCCCAGAGGGGAGCAAAGCAAAGGTAATTATGAATGCAGTAATTATTGTTTAGAGGGCAATAAGTTTGTTTCATTGCCAGACTCCAGTCTTCTGGTGTGTTAGGTGTGTGTGTGCCAAGTGGGTGTATGTATGGATGCATCTTTGGATGTGTTGTATAACTGTAACTTATGTCATTCTTTCAACAACCAAGCCAATGGTTTCAGAGATGGACATTCTCAGCCTAGGCAACCTACCAATCTAATTTCCATTTTCCAGGAACTGCCTAGAAAAGTCATGAGGTTGTAGACCTAGAAGGGACTTCAAAAACAATTATCATTAAAAAATACTGACTACATTTTGTTGGCTGCTGTCCTTGTCCCAGGCTCTCTGCTAGTCCCTTTATATACATTGGTCCTATTCCTCATTACAACACTGGAGGAAAGCTATTATTGGTTCCACTTAGGAGAAAATGGGTGTCAGAGAGATTAAGAAATTAAGGTATACCACTAGTAAGGAGAAAAGCTAGATTAGAGCCCAGAGAGCAATACAGAGTAATGGTTAAGTCAACAAAATTTGGTGTTGCAAATCATATAATCTATCAGCTTCTGCCTCTGTAAAATGAAGATAATGACAACTCTGTATGAGATCATTAGGAAAAGTAAATTTTAAAATACAGAGCCTGGCACATAGCCAACGCAACTTCAACACTGGCTAAAGCCCAGCTCTTCCCACTCCATTGTACTCTACTAGTAAAACCTGCAACAAAAACACCTCTACAAAACAAACCATAACTCATACTCTCCTGTGGATGATCCTTTAACACATCACCCTCCCTGATGGGAGGAGTCCCTGGGTGGAAAAAAACAGTGAATGTACTTGGCTCCTAACCCAGAGACACCCCCAAAAGAAAGGCCTGGCAATCTACTTCCAAAAAAGCAGCCACTGAAAACCCTCTGGAGCCAAGTTCCCCTCCAGCACAGATGGTCGCCATGAGTTGGAATTAGCTCGATGCCACATGCTATTACTGATATCCATAATGGGAAGCCATGCACCCAGACAACTAGATCATTTGCAAGCAGCTTAAAAGGTCAGCAATCCTTCCTCTGAAGACAGGAAAGGAATCTTCTTCCTGTGGATTCTAGCTCTGACCCTCTCCTTCCCTGTAAAGATGCCTCTACCTTTGCCTGTTGACTCCCCTCAGAAAATATTTGCCTTGTGAAAGACTGACTCATGGCCAAAGTCCCATTTTCAACTGGGGCAGTACCCAAGATTCCCTACTAGGGGGAGGACTAGACACCAGGACCCTGAATGTTGGGTAGAAGAAGACTGAGGGATGGGTCACTCTCTGTGTCCTTTAGGGTGTGAAGCAAAAGTGTCTCTACAACCTGCCCTTCAAGAGGAACCTGGAAGGCTGCCGGCAGCAGTGCGTCATGGTGGTGCAGCTCCCCAGGTGCTGCAAGGGCTACTTCGGGCGAGACTGTCAGGGTGAGGGCGCCTCTTCCACCTTGTGATTCTGAAAGGAGGGTATGCTCACTGTACTGCATTTGAAAAGTATAAAGAGGTGGGGGAAGCATCACTCTCAATGATTTCTCCAACCTGAAAGTCATCATTCTGGAGAATTTTGTATCTCTCTTTCTACTATTTTCTTTTGGCACAGGTAGCTTTTCCCTGAGTGGAGACTTTATAGTGTAGCTACTGCATTGCGTGTCAGGCTTTTTGCTTAATATTATACCACAGGCAATTCTCCACGGTGCTAAAAACACCAAATATTTTATTTCTGATGCATTGCAATGTCCATGATACTGACAAGAACATGAGCTTAGATGCATCTCAGATGAGTCTACCTTGGCAAGGTGATACACTGATATGGCATGTGTGGGTCATAATTTCCTGAAAACACCCTGTATGGGATGGTATCCCATTGCCCTGCCACTCTCATTTCTCCAGGAAAGGGCTCCTCTGCCCATGGGAACGTAGGCACATCCCGAAACCCACATGTCTAGACACAGCTTACAGCCAATGACATGAACAATGAGCACCATAACACTTACATGACACATACATGACCCATATGTTGTTCTAAGTAGGCACATTTATTGTTTGCTTCCCATATATATCACATATACAGTCACTCTTTGTTTGCAGATTCCATATTTGCAAATCTGCCTACTCAGTAAAATTTATTTGTAACCCCAAAATCAATAATTGCAGTGCTTTCGTGGTCACTTGCAGGCATACAAAAAGCAACAAAAATTGTAAACAAGTGCCCCTTTCACGTCAACTTGTGCCACATTTTTCACACTGTCATACCTTTTGTTGGTGACCTTGCTATTCAAAATGCCCCACAAGTGTAGGGCTGAAGTACTGTCGAGTGTTTCTAAGCACAGGAAGGCTGTGATGTGCCTTATAGAGAAAATACGTGCATCAGATGACCTGCACTCCAGCGTGAATTATAGTGCTGTTGACTGTGAGTTCAATGCTAATGAATCAACAATATATATTAAAGAAGGTGTCTTTCAACAGAAACACACATAAAACAAGATTATGAATTCATCAGTTGATGAGCCCTATATTTCCTCATTTGGACTTGGTAGCAATGGATTTGGTTGGTTTTTTGGTTTTATATTTCCCCTGGAACAATGGTTTAGTATGCATTAATTCAGTGTTCTTGGCAACTTTAAAAAAACATAACTACCATGAATAACAAGAATTGACTAGATATCAATTCATTTCATCTTCACAACCCCTAGGAAGTCAGTTCCATTGTTATCCCATTCAACAGGTGAGAAAAGTGAGGCACAGAAAGGATAAGACATAGGTCCCACAGTCTGTGTCCAGAGTCACTCTTTTCACTACTGCTCATACTCCACTCATTGTGGTCTAGATGAGATTCTGAGCTGAGAGTCCATGCAGTTACCCAGCCTCTACCCTCCATGACTAAAGTGTGAACCACTCACAAACCAACACCATCCTTATATTTGTTTGGCATTTACAGTTTCAAAATGCTCTCAGTTATATTACCTCGTTTAATCCTCACAGGAACACTGTGGTATAAGTCAAACAGGCGTTATCATCACCATTATTATTGTTGTTTGCTACCATCAACTTGGCTGGCTCATGGTGATGCCATGCACAATGGAACTAAGCAATGCCTGGTCCTATGCCATCCTGTGATTGGTTGCAGAACAGACCATTGTGATCCACAGAGTTTTCATTGGTTAATTCTTGGAAGGAGTTCACCAGGCCTTTCCTCCTAGTTCATCTTGGTCTGGAAGCTCTGCTGACACTGGTTCAGTATCATAGCAACACACCAGCCTGCACTGACAGACAGTGGTGATTACCCATGAGATACACTGGTCAGGAATCAAACCCAGATCTCCTGCACGGGACACGAGAATTCTACCATTGAACAACCACTGCCCTCTTACTATTATTCTTTAGAGCCGAGCAAACTGATGCACAGAGCAAGTCCATGACTCAGTGAAATCAATGCAAAGCCAGGTCTCCTGACCCCTAATACAGTGCGTGGTGCAGTATACTCCCATGCCGAGGAAGAATCGTATCAGATGCATTTGAGCTCGTGCCCCAGAAGCCAGTGGCTTCCCTAGACATCCAACGACACCCACGGTCCCTCTAGGCTAATGGATGCCAGAATCCACAGCTGAAGATGAGTTAGCACACCTTTTACACAGGCCACAGGCGCTAAGCTGCTCTGGGTCTTGGGAGAATGCTTACTCACTGTGGTTTCCTCTCTTCCAGCCTGCCCTGGAGGACCAGATACCCCGTGCAATAACCGGGGTGTCTGCCTCGATGAGTACTGGGCCACAGGAGAGTGTAAATGCAACACCGGCTTCAACGGGACGGCGTGTGAGCAGTGCTCACCGGGGAGATTCGGGCCTGACTGCCAGCGTACGTGGCACCCGTTCCTGGGCTGTAGCCTGGTTTTAGCTGTGTGCTCCCTGTCTTCCTCCATGCTGCCCACCTGGCCTAGAAGTTTCCTCCTCCCCTTTTTCCCAGCCACCCACATCCCATCTGCCTGCCCTTTGAGCTTCTTTCCTCCTTGGGTGCATTCCCAGTTTCCACCCACTGAGAGACCGGCCTCTAGAAGTGAAATGCACTTCCCTGCAGCCACCCAGGCAAGCTGAGGCTGAACAGCATTCATTCATTCAGCCAGCCAACAGATAGGTACTGAGTCCTTAACCAATATTGATAGACCAGCCCACCGCCATCGAATCCATTCCGACTCATACCAGCCCCCATTGAGTTTCCAAGGCTGTAAATCTTTACAGAAGTAGACTGCCTCATCTTCCTCCTGTGGAGCACCTGGTGGGTTTGAACTGTCAACTTGGTCAGCAACCAAATGCCTTACTCACTATGCCACCAGGGCCCCTTACTAATATTGGTAACTAACATTTATTGATTGATTCATTTATTTAGCATATAAATAACAACATAAATAATTACTTATTTGATGATTAATTGAATGAGTGAGTGCTCACAATGGAGCAGGCATATAGGTTTTGCTCACTTAATCCTCATTAACAATCCTTAGGGACAGGTACTATTATTATTATCCCCAATGAACAGCTGACAAAGCAGAAGCATAAAGAGGTCAACTGGTTTAAAATCCTGGTTTTGTCCTAAGTTCTAGAGACAAGTGATAGAAGGAAAAAGCAAAATTCTAGCTTTCAAGGAGCTTACATTCAAAGGGAGGAGATGGACAAGAACTACAGAAACAAAAAGTTATAAAAGCTATAAAGAAAAAGAATGCAAGCACAAGGCATAGAGAATAAAAAGAGGCATGTTTTTAGAAGACATCTCAGGGGAGCATTTGGGTGGAGACCTAACAGAGGTGAGGAGCCCGGGGTGCGGATACTGAAAGAAGCACCGTCCAATCAAACTCCCCACGGTGCTGGTAACGTTCTATAACTCCACTGTCTAGCCACCTCTGGTAACCACTAGACACATGTGGTCATTGAGCACTGGGAATATTGTCATTGTAACTAGTTTAAATAATCACATGTGGTTAGCGGCTACTGACCTGTACAGTAAAGACTAAAGGAACAGCTTTCCCAAAGGAAAGAGAAATAAGTGCAAAGGCCTTGAGGCAGGAGTGTGCGCGGTGCCTACAGAGCAACAAGGAGGCCAAGGTGACTGAGCAGAGTGGGCCAGAAAGAGGAAGAGAAGGAAATGAAAGCTGAAGGTCGCCAAGGGCCAGATCCTGCAGGAGCTTCCTGGCCAGAGAGATCTTCAGAGACTACTCTAAGTGTGATGGGCGGCCAGAGGAGGAGTGTGAACTCAGCAGACTGGAAAGGATCACTCCAGCTGCTCTGTAGGGAACACACGTGGGGGGACAAGAGCAGAGGCAGGGCCACCTTTGGGGAAGCTAATGTAGCAATCGGGTTGAGAGCTGATGGAGCCAGGGTGGTGCTGGAGGTTGCAAGAAGTGGTGGAATTGGTACATGTTTTGAAGACTTTACTGTTAAAATGGAGGACAAAGTGTTGCCTGGTGCTGCACCCATCCCATGATTAGTTGTGGATCAGATCACTGTGATCCAGAGGACCATGGTTTTCATTGGCTGATCCTCACAAACAGATTGCCAGGCTTTTCTTCCTGGTCTGTCTGAGTCTGGAAGCTCCCCTGAAACCTGTTCAGCATCATAGCAACATGAAAAAGCTTCCACTGACAGATAGGTGTTGGCTACACAAGAGGTGCACTGGCCCGGAATCAAGCCTGAATCTCCCACATGGAAACAGAGAGTTCTACCACTGAACCACCCTCTCTCCCACTGCATCCTCTCCCTCTGCATTTATAGCATTCCTTGCTTGTAATTACATGACCAACAGCTGGTTCCCTCTGAGACTGATCTCTGTCCACATTTGTCTTCCAGCCTGTGGCTGCTCGGACCACGGACAGTGCGATGATGGAATCCTGGGCTCCGGGCAGTGCCTCTGTGAAACAGGGTGGACGGGCCACTTCTGTGACACTCAGGCAGGTCTGTCATGGGCGTGGTCAGCTGCCAGACTACATCAAGAGCATTCCACTGAGGCTGTGGGCCTGAGTAGCCCCTTTAAAAAAAAAAAAAAAAGGATGATGCCATTTCACACAGGAAAAATGATTTGGCTATCTGGCCCTGGGCTTTAGGAGCTTTGTTGACTTTCAGAAAAACTAGATGAAAGAACTTAACTCAGACATGCATGTCAGCCTATGCAGTTGTAGAAAGACCCCCTCAGGGAAGGAATCTCAGGACAGGCTTGTGGGCCCAGATGTTTCCAGACTCCAGGCTGAGTGGTCTAATTAGAAGCACACAGTCTTTGGGGTCCCCAAGACCAGCGTCTGACCCCTGATTCTGCTACTCACCAGATGAATGGCCTTAGGTAACCATTCTCTCTGAACCTTGATTTGCTTATCTGTAAAAAAAAAAAATCACACTTTGCAGGAGGCAGGAAGGGAAGGTCAGAGATCATATTTTGAAAGAGCCTAGTGGAGGTAAGCACAACAAAACGGCCACTGCCATCATTATCAGCATCATCATAATCTTCACCATGACTACCACCACTAGCTCCAACCCATGGCAATCCCATGTGTCAGAGCAGAGCTGTGCTCACAGGCTTTCAATGGCGGGGCTTTCAGAAGTAGATCACCTGACCTTTCTTCCAAAGCACTTCTGGCCAGACTCAAACTTCCAACCTTTTGGTTAACAGCTAAGCACGTTAACCATTTGCTCTGCCCAGGAACTCCTCATCATTACTAAGCAGACAGTCTTCTGAGGTCACCCTCATACGCAAAGCCCCGTGTTCTGGTGGAGTATCTGAGATGTGAGAGTTGAATTATTGGCATTTCATTCTCCCTGAGGTCACAAAGGCAATGACTAGGTCTTCCCATGGGCTTTATAGCAACCTGAAGTTGCAAGAATTTCAACTGTATGGTTAGTGTCAATTCCTTCTCCTTCCCGCCCCCCAAACACCCCATGGGCTCCTGCTAATACTTGTGCTGGAAAGGCAGCCCATCCAACCACCAAACCTCCACCGCACACAACCTTGGTGGTGCCCTCAGGTAGCCATGGAATTTCCCCTCCAATTTAACCATGTCCTCCTGGAGCCCCAAGCCCTTAGGGCCTGAGAGCTAATCTGCCAATAACTCCCTGCTAGGGAGTTTTCAGGTGAAAAGTTTGGATAATATTGTAGAGATAATAACTTAATATAAAGGGGTAATCCTAGAATCTCAGTATCTCTAGGTTAAGAGGGACCTTGGCAAACCTCCTATCTTCCAGCTGCATTGGGGTGGGGTGGGGGGACTTTAGCAACATAGTGGCAGGTCAATGAGAGAGACGTGGGAAGTATCCTTAGGCGGGTCCCAGCCCTTCACACCACAAGGGCAGGGTGAATGGAGGCCACTCTCTTTGCAGTGTTGCCTCCTGCTTGCACACCTCCTTGTTCTACTCACGCCACCTGTAAGGAGAACAACACGTGTGAATGTAACCTGAATTACGAAGGTGATGGGATAACATGCACAGGTGGGTGTCCTCTGTGTGCATATGAAATAGCAGCATGACGTGGGAGTGGGACTTGGGTGGTCCCACAAGGCCAGGGTGTCCTTGGGCCCTGTCCTAGCTCTTCCACATCCTGCCGAGGCAACTTCAGCCATACCTACCCTCTCGGAGCTCCACTGCCTCATCTGACGATGGGTTTGCTCTTGCCTGGCTTGTCCACCTCTTGGATCATGGTTTTAAAATTACTTGGTAAACTATGATGGTCTTATTTTATAGTTTCTTTCCAAACTCTACAAGTATCAGTACTCTTTCAGAAAATGCACTGAAGTATAAAATTAGAACTATAGTTGTTTGCTGCCATCTGATACCACCTCAGAAACCCAAAGAGGGGTTGCTATGAGTCAGGTCCGACTTGACAGCACATAACAACAACAGCCATCAAGTTGACTTTGATTCACAGTCATCCCATATGACAGAGTAGAAGAGATCACCAAGTTTTTCTCACTTGGAGCCACTGGTGGATTCGAACAGCCTACCTTTCAGTTAGCAGTTGAATGCTTAACCACTAGGGCTCCATAGGCTCAATTAAACAGAGATCCAAATGAAGAGAAGCAGTTACAAGGTAGATGTTTATTTCTGTCCCACATAATGGTTTAGGGGGAGGCATCCAGGGCTAAGACCTTCTTGCTCTGCCATCCCTTCACTTCGCTGGCCCAGGACGGCTCTAATTCTGCCCTAAGTACTTCCCAGGTAGTAGGATGGAGAAGGAGAGGGAGGAGACAAACCTCCTTCCTTTAAAGACACAACCTAGAAGTTTCAAAAATCACTCTGACTCCCATCCCATTGGCCGGAACTTCATCACTTGTGACATCTAGCTGCAAGGAAGCCTGGGAAAAACACTTTTTGTCTGTTGTTGTTGTGTGCCATCGAGTTGGATCCAACTCATAGCGACCCCTCCTTGGGTTTCCGAGGCAGTATCACTATGGAAGTAGATTGCCCTATCTTCCTTCCGAGGAGTAGCTGATGGGTTTGAACCACCAGCCCTCTGGTTAGCAGTCAAGTGCCTTTAGGCATTATGCTACCAGAGCTCCGGGCAACGACAAACACAGCTAAAAAGCTATTTGATAGCAAAAGGAGATAATAGGTATTTGAAAAAGCTAGCAATCTTGGTTATATGTCCTTCCTAACTTTTTTCATAAGTAAATTCTCTGTCATACTCTGAGTTCTCTAGCAGAATAAAGACAGTGGTTCATATATAGATACATATATAGAGAAATTTACTTCAAGGAAGTAGCTCACACAATTGGGGGGGATGGCGAGTTCCAAATCCATGGGTTAGGGGGAAGGCTGAAAACCTCTGCTAATTCATATAGTTGAGGGGCTGACAAACTCCAAATCTGCAGGTCAGGTGATGGGCTAGAAGCCTCTGCAGGCTCACAGGTTTGTAGGGGTTGTGTTGTTGTTGTTGTGTGCCATAGGGGTTAGTAAATCCAAAATCTGCAGGTCAAGCAGAAGGCAAAGATTTCTGCAGGCTTATGTCCCAAGAACCGGAGGTCAGGCAATGAGAAGAGTGCAGGGTTGAGAGAGAGTGAGCTTTGCCAGAATATGCATTTATATCCTGGAAGCAGGTCCCACTCCTAAGGAAACTCTCCTTTCAACTGATTGGCTGCTCACATCAGATCACAAAAAGGAAGAGAATTACATTATGCAAGAGCACATGCCAAATCATTGAGAATCATAGCCAAGTTGACAAACAACATTAACCATCACATAATCATATAGAGATACATACTTCATTTGCAAATGAGGCTTGCTACCACCAGCTGTTAGTAACCTGTTATGAGGCAGTCCAGAAGCAACGCCAGCAAAAACCCAGTTTCTGTCTTTCTACTCTGTCACCCTTAGAGAGGCCTTCTGTCCTCATGTTCATTCTCTCAGTCTCAAGGAGATGCCACAACATAGGTAGAAAGGCAAGTAGCTTTCTAGCTACTCCTGCAGCTAGAACTAATCTATTATTGGGTTGAAATTTGGGAGATTATGAAAAGAAAGGTCATAGAGGTCACACAGCACCATGGTAAAAGCATGGACGTCGGTGCCCAACCTCACTAAGCCCAGCCCCACCACACATTACCTGTTTTACTTTTGTCCAGTCAGCTATTGTTCTGAGCTTCAATTGGTTCATCGGTAAAATGGGAGTAACAAGGTCTCTCTCACAAGGTGCTCCGTTAATGTAGCACTAACACACACACATAACTGTGTCCTAACTTTACAAAACCCAAACTCATTCTAAAAACCACTTCCAAAGCAGAGCCCAGTAGGTCTGTGGCAAGGAGGGGCAGGGATGGACAGATTCATCAGGCCTGGTCTGTGAGGGTGGCACAAGGGTATCAGTGTTTGGAAATGTTAGCACAGAGGCAGCAGGGTGTAGGGAGGAGGCTCATTGGGGCCCAATGACTCAGTGGAGTCACTAGGAGGGTGCCAGGGATGCGGACCACACTGGGTGACACTGCCAAAGAGGGTGACACCAAAATGATTGTTTATAAAATTTTTGTGCAGTGTTTCAACAGAAACGTTTTTATATATATGTACAAATATCCCTATAGTCAGTTACAAATGTTACATTATTATTATATTATTACATCATTTCTTGTAAACCCAGCTTACATGTATCAATATATCTACAACGCTAAAATTCTATGCTAGTTTACTTTTTGAACCTTCTAACCTGTTCTAGTCAGTGTTGTCATTACTGCCCAATTACAACGGTGCTTTAAGTCACATGGTCACATCTGCAGGTGCTACAATACACACTGTCATTTTCATTACCAGTGTTTTTGTAGTCACTGATTTTTGTCAGATTATCTGGTGTTGTAGCAACAATACTGTAGTAATTAGTATTTGTGAACCTATGTCACTAACTTTTGGGAACAATAAAGTAGAAATTAAAGGAAAAGGAGAAATATTTAAAAACGCTTCCACTCAGTTACTAATAATGTTGTAAATAATAATGTTGTGATTCAATGTAGAAAGATTTTCCAAAACAGTTTTATTGTTAATAGTCATATAACCTAAGAAATACTACATTTAAGCAATTTACAACTGTATTTATCACATACTATTCTATGGTTAAAATTGATAATAAACATTACTAAGAATTAGGTATAGTTTCATACAAGAGGAGGTCAGTGGGTGGGGAGGTAACACCATGAGTTACTGCACTGAATGGCACCAACCCTGGTGATGCCACTGCACTGGTCCCCCCGCACCATGGGCACTGGTGTGATACCCCTATTGGAAGCCCTCGTTGCACAGATGGGGGTAACCGAGCCCTCTTGCCCCTGTTCTCACAGTTGTGGATTTCTGCAAACAGAACAATGGGGGCTGTGCGAAGGTCGCCAAGTGCTTCCAGAAGGACACCATGGTCTCCTGCAGCTGCCCCAAGGGCTACAAGGGCGACGGTCGCAGCTGCACAGAAATAGACCCCTGTGCCGATGGCCTCAATGGCGGGTGTCACGAGCATGCCACCTGCAAGATGACTGGCCCAGTAAGTCGCTCTTTCCCAGGGGGTTTGGGAACATCTTCCCGGGCTTCACTCAGCTTGCTTTTCCAGCTGCCTTGGGTCCTGCTCACCATCCAGCCTCTTCCTAAGCTTTCTTCCCATCAGTTTATTTCTTGTTAAAAATGAGAGGGGTAAATGCAAGGTGGGATCCTAGACAGAAAATGGATGTTAGTGGAAAAATTGGTGAAGTCCAAATAAAATCCACTGTTTATCAATAGTAGTGGACCAATGTTAATTTCTTGTTTTGACAAATGTACCATGGTCATGACCATGGTCATGTAAGATGTTAACACTGGAGGGAACTGGGTAAACTCTCTGTACTATCTTTGTAACTTTCCTGAACATATAAATGATTCCAAAATAAAAAGTTTATTAAAAGGAAAAGTTGGTGGAAAATGGCATGAAAATTGCCAGTTTGGGCAATCACTCAAGTTGTTTTTTAGAATGGAATCAATGTTCTATTTATCTGGTGGAGGAAGAGAAGTCTGTGGAAGGTAATGTCCACTATGGGTTGTAAGCATGGATCTGAAGTCAGACAGATTTTGAGGCTTAGCTTCTGGGCTTAAAACTTACGTAGTCCTAGGCTGGCTACTCAATCTCTCTAAGTCTGTGGGCTATATAATAATGCATACCAAGAGGGTTCTGGTGGGGAGAAAATCAGATCACTTACTGATTCAACAAATGGTTATTTAATACCTACTGTGTGTTATTGTAAGGAGCTCTGGTGGTGTAGCAGTTAAGGCATTTGACTGATAACCAAAAGGTCACTGGTTCAAACCTACCAGCTGCTCTGTGAAAGAAAGATGGGATAGTCTGCTTCTATAAAGATTTATGGTCTTGGAAACCCAATGGGGGTCTCTATGAGTCAAAATCGACTTGATGGCAATGAGTTTGTGTGTGTGTGTGTGTGTGTGTGTGTGTGCTATTGTAGGTGTCAGGGGTATAGCAATCAAAAACACAGACACAGTGCTTGATTTTCTGGAGCCTATGCACATGTAGAAGGAGCCCTGGTAGTGCCATGGTTAAAGCACTCAGCTGCCAACCAAAAGGTCAGCAGTTGAAACCTACCAGGCACTCCATGGGAGAAAGATGTGGCAATCTGCTTCCATAAAGATTAAAAACAAAAACAAAAATTCACTGCCATTGAGTCAATTCCAACTCACAGTGACCCCCTTTGGGTTTCTGAGGCAGGAAATCTTTACACAAGTAGATTGCCCAGTCTTCCTGCCACAGAGTGGCTGCTGGGTTTGAACCATCAATCTTCTGGTTAGCAGTCAAATGCCTTAGGCACTATACCACCAGAGCCTTAGAAACCCTATGGGGCAGTTCTACTCTGTTCTATAGGGTTTCTAGGAGTCAGAATCAACTCAGCAGTGCTAGGTTTGACAGGTGTACAGTAGAGGGAGGAGAGTGATGCTCAGTACAGAAATAAATGCACAGGAAGATGCTGCACCAGTGTGGAAGGGCCATGGTGTACAGAAATCAAAGCCATGTGGTAGGAGGAACTGGGAGAGACATTTTATTTAGGGTGGCAGGGAAGGCCTCTCTGAGGAGGTGATATTTGAGCTGAGATAAAATGGGTGACAGTATTTTGTCATAAGCCTGTACACAAGCAGGATGTAGTAGTTCCTCTGGACAGAGAGGCATGCATTCTTGGTCCTGCTCTTCTGGAGGGTGGTTCCCAGGGCACTGGGGAGTCCTGAGGTCCTGGAGAAGGGGCTTCTCTCATCCTTCCCCACTCTCTCCCCACAGGGCAAGCACAAGTGTAAATGCAAAAGTCACTACGTGGGAGACGGCCTGGCCTGTGAGCCGGAGCAGCTGCCCATTGACCGCTGTTTACAGGACAACGGGCAGTGCCACGCAGATGCTGACTGTGCCGACCTCCACTTCCAGGGTCAGTGTGGCTAGATGCGACTGGGGCCCTCAGGCCTGGAGAAGGGACCTGTGAAAGAGAAGGAAAAAGCAGGAACCAAACAGCCCACGCACTGCTCAGGGCCCAAAGGAAGCAGTGGGCCTCTGCTAGCAGAAGGGTGGGGTAAACCCAGAATTAGACCTTGAGCCTTAAGTCTAGGAGGGAGCTCAAAGTTTTTCTATCCTGAATCTTCCTGATGCTTGGTTCTCCCAAGTTGCTCAGTAACCCTTGTAACCATTGACTGGAATTAAATCTAAAAACCACAGCTTAGGGTAGTAAATACCAAAATGGAAGCATCTGCCACGTGCAGAAGCAGCTTCTTAGCAGTTGGGTTAGTAGTAGCACAGTGCCTACGGCATTTGACTGCTAACCAGAGGCTGGCAGTTCAAACCCACCAGCCACTCCTTAGAAAGAAGATTGGGCAATCTACTTCCATAGAGATGCTGCCTTGGAAACCCAAGGAAAGGTTGCTATGAGTTGGATCTGACTTGACAGCAGTAAGTTTGGTTTTTTTTGTTTGTTTGTTTGTTTATGCCCCCATTACTTCCAAGAATGATTTGAGTGGCTTATAAAACAAACCAATGAGTATAATAAACTAAGAATCATAACACACAACTAGGTTAAAAAAACAAAAAATAGAAACCCAAGTATTAAGTGCAGAAAACCCATTGCCATTGAGTCCATTCCAACTCATACCCACATACTGCCATCGAGTCAATTTTAATTCATATTGACCACCATTGGGGTTTCCAAGGCTATATAAATCTTCAGGGAAATAGATAGCCTCATCTTTCTCTGGCAGAGCAGCTGATGGGTTTGAACTGCTGACCTTGGAGTTAGCAGCCGAATGCCTTACCCACTATACCACCAGAGCTTCTTTTTCCAACTCATAGAGACCCTATAAAACCCAAACCAAACTCAATGCCATTGAGTCAATGTCAACTGACCCTATTGGACAGAGTAGAACTGCCCCTGTAGGGTTCCCAAGGTTGTAAATCTCTACAGAAGCAGACTGTCACATCTTTCTGCCACAGAGAAGCTGATGGGTTTGAACAGCCAATCTTTTAGTTGGCAGGCAAGCACTTAACCATTGCACCACCAGGGCTTCTTTAGAGACCCTGTATGAAACAGGGGAGCTCTGGTAGCATAGTGCCTAAGGCACTTGACTGCTAACCAGAAGGCTTGTGGTTCAAACCCACCAGCCACTCCTGGGAAGGGAGGCTGGGTAATCTACTTCCGTAGTGATACTACCTTGGAAACCCAAGGAGGGGTCACTATAAGTCGGGTCCGACTCAACAGCACATAACAACAGCAACAAATATGAAAGAGTAAAGCTGTTTCATAGGGTGTCTGAGGATGTAATCTTTAAAGAAGCAGACTGCCATGTCTTTCTCCCACAGAAAACCTAGTGGGTTCAAACCACTAGCCTTTCTGTTAGCAGCCACTTAACCACTGTACCACTTGAGCTCTTTAGTAAGTGCAGAGGTGCAGGGAATAGGGTATCTTGCAACTTAAGAGAGAAAATAAGAAAGGACCCATAAGCGTATGTAGTTTTGAACCATAACAGAGAGGGACTTGAATGGTTCAGAAAGTGACCAGTGTTCATTAGTTCTCTCTGATTTGCTAGGGTGTTCTACACACACAGTAATTTTGCCTGGCAGTTTTTACCCATCTCAACAACTTTTTTTTTTTTTTTTAATCCTCTAAACTACAATGTTTTTATTTCTTTTTTCTTTTTTAATTGTGCTTTAGGAGCAAGTTTACAGAGCAGAGTTTGTTTTACATTCAACATTACGTGTACATTTAGTTTCACTCCCCATTTACCATCCCCAACCCTAACCCAGTCTCCTCCCCTCCCTGCCCAGTAACACCCTTCCCACCCCCATTCACCTCATAGTTAGGCACTCCTGTGTGTCCTGCATTTCCTCTGTGTGAATGTTGCTCCTTTGGTGCCCCATGGTGGATTGCTCCAAGCAATGCATTTCCATAGAATATGTAGGTATGTCCCCCTGGGTTGAGTGGTCTGCATGTACATCTTGTTTACTGTTAGGCTAAGATCCAGCCCCTGGGAGTAAGCTTTATTCCAGGCCCAGAATGTATCCCAGGACCGTAGTAGTATTAGGGGTCTCACCAGACTCTATCCGACCAGTAATTCTGGTCATTATTGAATTTTTGGATTTTGTTCCACATTTTCCCTCCCACTCTATCCAGAATCTCCAAATTTGATCCTTTCCTGAGTGGCTGGCATTGGTTGCTAGGCACCACCTAGTAAGGTCTCAAGGGCCAACATGTCCTAGGGCTGATTGCTTCCAAATGTCCTTGTTTTTTTGCACTCTTCTTTGCTTCTGATGATAGGAGACCATTAGCAGTATCTTAGATGGCCTCCTGAAAGCTTTTAAGACCCCAGTCGCTATTCACCAATGCAGGATGAGGAACAAGACTTTTATGTATTTTGTTCAACAACTCTTAATGTTTGTTATGTATCAAATCCTGAGACACTTCAAATCCAAAACCATTGAATATATAAGAGTTTGTCTCTTATCACAAGTGATTCCCAGTGTAGTTGAGGAATGTTTTTAAATTAATAAGAAAAAGAAAAGAAAGCAATGAATGCAACAGAAGACAGAGATGTATCTCCTACTGATGGTGTGGCTGAGACAAGAGAGCAAGAACAGCTCAGGGAAGGGAAAGGTCTCCAGGGGAGGTGGGAGAAGAGCCTTCAGAGACGCTTAGCATAGGCCTGGCACTGAGGTGGAGACGTGCAGGATGTTTGTATTGGGCTAAGCACAGAAGTGCCTCTGGGTAGGATTCTAATGGCAACTTATGACAACAACAAAGCACAGAGCAGGAGACAAAGTTTCTCGGCTAGGGGGACAGACTGGACAGCTGTGAGAAATGCTAAGGGTCTGCTGAGAAGGACAAGGCAATAAGGACACAGAGTGATATCAAGACTGTGGTCCCACAGTAATAGGGTCTCCACTGGGAAGAAGAGTGAGACAAGGGAGAAGAGGACACACAGTGGACAGAGAGAGTAAAAAAAGATAGGCTTGAAGCCAACGTCAGGTCTCCGTCCTGAGAGAGCAAACCCAATGGCAGTACTGGGCGAAGGCAGACGGGGCGGGAAGGTGATGGGAAGTTTGAGGAGCTTAGTTGGGGGTATTCCATGTTCTAGGCAATGTGGAGCATGCGGACACAGACATTTATAGTCAGTAGTTGTTTGGGGTGAATCTTTATACTCTGAACTCAACTCTCTGGTTAGAAAAGATGTCACTATGGAAAAAACAACAAAAATGTTCCAACATCTTAGCTGGGAAATGGCTGTAAAGCTTTTTAAAAGGCATAATAGCCATCAAAAAACATAAGAGTCCTTGTCAGAAACGCCTCTGATGTACTGTTCTCAAGGGTGTAAAGTTCACAAAAACTATTCAGTTAGAAGTATTGGGGGAAAAGTCATGTTGCCAAAGAAAATTTATAACATTGGAAAATCATCATGACTTAATGTTAAGTTCAAAGAATATTTCTAAAAGCTATGTATTTCTATGGCACTATGATTAAAATTCATAGATAATACCCACTGCCATCAAGTTGATTCTGACGCATGACAACCCTCCAGGATAGAGTAGAACTGCCCCAAGGGTTTATAAGGCTGTAAATCTTTACTGTAGCAAACTGCTTTAGTTTTCTCCCGTGGAGTATCTGGTGTGTTCGAACGGCCAACCTTTTGGTTAGCAGCCAAATACATTAATTGTTACACCTTCAGAGCTGCTTACATTAATATATACTCACTGCCATAGAGTCGACTCTGACTCATAGCAACCCCCGTTGGGTTTCGAAGGCTGTAAATCTTTACAGAAGCAGATTGCCTCCTCTTTCTTCTGTGGAGTGACTGGTGGGTTCTAACCACCTACCTTTTGGTTAGCAGCCAAATGCCTTAACCACTACACCACCAGAGCTCCTTAGGTATGGATACATAGATACATCCTGTAAGTAAATAAAAGACTATGAAATTTTATCAAAATAAGTTACAAAAAAACAAGTAAAAATTCTGGAAGGAAGTCCACCAAAATATTAACCATGGAGTAATGATTATCTGAACAGGAGGATTATAAGTAATTTTTCTTTCTTTTTTACTTTTCTGTATGGCCCAGATTTCTACAATGAATGTGTGCTCTTTGTATAATTAGAAAATAAACACTTGTTTTAAATGATGTGCTTCAACTTATCTCCAAGGGGAAGTGGCTTCCAAGGTACCCTGGAGACATACAGCTCCTTCTGCTTTGAAAGTTCTTCAAAGTGCCTTTGCTAAGCTGCCAGTGCTGCAAGGACTGCCGACCAGACCCACTGATGTGGACGCTGTTTCTCTTTCCACTTCTAGACACCACTGTTGGCGTGTTCCACTTACGCTCCCCGCTCGGCCAATACAAGCTGACCTTTGACAAAGCCAGAGAGGCCTGTATCAATGAGGCTGCAACCATTGCAACCTACACCCAGCTCTCCTATGCCCAGAAGGTACGTCCTCCACCAGTGGCACCATGCAATCAGGGTCTGGGGGCAGGGTCTACAGGGGAGCAGGTGCAGCCTCTTTTTAAGATGAGGACATTGCTTTCTTGGAGGGGGTGCAGGGAACTCCTGGAGCAATCAAAACAACTCATCAGGCCCATTTAGTGAGTGTCTACAATGCATCAGAGGTCCCTGGGTAGAGCTAACAGTTAAGTACTCAGCTACGAACTGAAAGGCTGATGGTTTGAACCCATCCCGAGGTGCCTCAGAAGAAAGGCCTGGCAATCTGCCTTGGGAAGGCTACAGCCATGAAAACCTGGTGGAGCAGCTCTGCTCTGACACACATGGGGGGTCGCTGTGATCGGAATCAACTTGATGGCAACTGGTCGGCTGGCTGTTTTTTTACTATGTGTCAGGCACCATATCAAGCACTTTGTTGACATATTGTCCATCCTGGTAACATCTCCAGGAAGCTGGACTGGAAGTTGGGTGCCACTGAGTCGATCCTGACTCACATCAACCCCACGTGACAAAGAACTGACCCACAGGGTTTTCTTGGCTGTAATCTTTACAGAAGCAGATTTCCAAGTCTTTCTCCTCCATAGCCATTGGGTGGGTTTGAACCAACAACCTTTGGGTTAACAGCTCAGTGCTTAAGTGTTAAGGCCCCTGGGCTCCTTCTCTAGGAAGTAAGTTGTTGTTGTTGTTGTTGTTTGCCGTCGAGTCGGCCCCGACTCATAGCGACCCTTCCTTGGGTTTCTGAGGCAGTATCACTATGGAAGTAGGATTGCCCAACCTTCCTTCCAAGGAATGGCTGGTGGGTTTGAACCGCTAGCCTTCTGGTGAGCAGTCAAGTGCCTTAGGCACTATGCTAACAGTAAGTAAGTATCACTATTTCCGTTTTACAGATAAGAAAATCAAGGTTCTGAAAGGTTAGGTAACATGCCCATCATCAGCTGCTGTTCAAGTGCAGCTCTGACTACAGAAAGTCTGTTCTCAACCATGACTCTCAGCTGTCAAGGCAGAGGCTGGAAGTGCACAACTCACAGCTAGAAACCAGGCGAGATCAGTAACCACAAGCCCCAGGTCTCTCTGTACCCTCCAAGCAGCTGAGTTTCTCTGGATTAGCTAGAGCTCACTGTGGCTGGAGGGGCTTTGAAGGGAGTAACAGGATTGCCCCAGCTCACAGCCATAGCCAGGCAGGAAATGGACCCTGGTCAGAGCTACGCTCTTAGCTCCTTAAAGCAGAAGCCACTTGTCTCAGTCTCCTAGCACTGCTCTAACACAAATACCACAAGTGGGTGGCTTTATAAAACAGAAATTTATTTTCTCACAATTTTGAAGACTGAAAGTCCAAATTAAGGTCTCAGTCACGTCAATTCCTTCCTTACACATAGCCTTGGGCATCCCTTGGTTCCTTGGTAACCCTCTCATGGCATCTGTCTTCCACCATATGTCTATGTGCCTGTGTCTAGTCCTGTTCTTGTTATAACTCAGAAGTGATTAGATTTAGAATCCACTCTGTTTGGCCATGAACTAATTAATGCAACAAAGAAAACCTTATTTCCAAACAGGAGTACATCAACTGTAGCAGAGCTACTGGCTGAGCAGGGAGCGTAAGTGGAACACACCAAGAGTGGTATCTAGGTTAGCAATGCAACACATATTTTGAGGGAACACAGCTCAGTCCCTAACAATGATCGGTTAGAGTTCTATCAATCCATAAGCAGAAGTATTCATACCCATGGGTCACAGTTGACAGAGAATCCTTTCTCTAAAAGCAGAGACAAGGGAAATGAGTATGAAAGACTTGGGCAGCTACAAGAAAGAGAGGGCAGCACTTTCATGCATCCAAGGGCTCAGTCAACACAAATGTAATGAGCACCAACTATGTGCCAAGCACAGGACCTACAATGGTGAGGAAATGAGACAGCCCCTAACTCCAAGGAGTTTACAGTCTAATGGAGGAATCAGGTGGGAACCAAAGGATCCCACAACAAATAGGAAGTTACAGCTGACTCATGACCATGTCTGTGCCTCCACAGGCCAAATACCACCTCTGTTCGGCGGGCTGGCTGGAGACAGGGCATGTTGCCTACCCCACAGCCTACGCCTCCCAGAACTGTGGATCTGGTGTTGTTGGGATAGTAGACTATGGAGTGAGAACCAACAAGAGCGAAATGTGGGACGTCTTCTGCTACCGGATGAAAGGTAACCACCCCAGCTACACTTCAGGTCCGAGCCACACAGCTGCTACGCAATCCGCAGCCTGGCCAGCCAATCTCCAAGGGTGAGCAGGGCCAGCCCAGGTCCCGCCTCACTGAGGATGGGACCCCATGTACTCCTGCCCTCCAGATGTGAACTGTACCTGCAAGAAGGGCTACGTGGGAGATGGCTTCTCATGCAGTGGGAACCTGCTGCAGGTCCTGATGTCCTTCCCTACACTCACAAACTTCCTCACGGTATGTACCAAGTCTGCTTGGTTTCTCCTGGGGCGAGGGTTGCATCAAAGCAGGTATCTCATGGCAGCTATTAAAGGGGCATTGGTGGTTCAGTTGTAGCATTCTCACCTTCCATGCAGAAAACCCAGGTTCGATTCCCAGCAAATGTCCCTCATGTACAGCCACCAACCATCCATCATAGCATGTTGCTATGAAGCTGAACAGGTTTCAACGGAGCCCCCAGACTAAGACAGACTAGAAGGAAACACCTGGCAATGTACTTGCAAAAACCAGCCAGTGAAAAGCCTGTGGCCCACAGTGGCCCTGATCACAACCAGCCGTGGAGATGGTGCAGGACCTGGCACCGTTCATTCCACTGTGCATGGGGTTGCCATGGGCTGCGGGCAACTCAAAAGCAGCTAACAACAACATTAGAGGAGCAAGTCCTTGGAAGGAGACAAAGGCTCGCACAGTGGTTAAGAGCATGGATGCTGGGCCACGTTACTTGAATTTGAAGCTTGAGTTTGCCACTTACTTGTAGCATAACCTTAGACAAGTTACTTCCCCTCTCCCCCTCTCTGGGCCTCAGTTTCCTCATCTGCAAGATGATGCACCAATGTCATAGGTTGTTCATGAGAATTAAGTGAGTAAGTATTTGTCAAGCATCTAGAGCAATGCCTCGCATTAAGCAAGTTACTTTTTCTCTCAACATCAGTTTCCTCACCTGTAAAATGAGAATGATAATAGCTCTAACCTCACAGACTCATTGTGACAATTAAATGAGTTAGTATTTATACAGCACTTACTTCTGTGGCCAGCTCTATACTGAAAATGCTGTATCGGTGTTAGCTACTGTTATTATCTGCACATCTAAAGCAGGTAAGAGTCTGGTCTGCAGGAATGTTGTCTTCATGGTGAAGGGTCAAGATGGACATGCTTAAATAAGTCTGCTGAGTTAGCAACATGGAATAGATTTGCATTTTGCCCTGCATTTAAAGTCACTTTAATATCCTCCAACTTATGCACAGTAAAGAGACTGCCCCATTTGGGGAAGGATTTGGTGTTGACTGAGCAAAGAACTGAGCTACTAATAATAACAGCACTGAGCACTAACATTTCTTGAGTGTTTACTTTGCACTGGGTTCTGCATTGACCATCCTTACAAACCCATTTCATTCAGCCCAGAGAATGTAAGCTCGGCGAGGGAAAGATTTTGTCTGCCTTGATCACCATTGTACCCCCGACACCTCAAACAGTGCCTGACACATGTTGCTGTTGTTGTTATGTGCCATCGAGTTGGGCCCAACTCATAGGGACCCCTCCTTGGGTCTCTGAGGCAGTAACACTACGGAAGTAGATTGCCCCATCTTCTTTCCAAGAAGTGGCTGGTGGATTTGAACCGCCAGCCTTCTGGTTAGCAGTCAAGTGCCTTAGGCACTATGCTACCAGAGCTCCTGCCTGGCACACAGTAGGTGCTAATAAATACTTGTTAAAAGGAATAAATCCTCACACAACCTTATGAGGTCACTTTTGCTATTATAAGCTCTGGTAGCATAGTACCTAAGGCATTTGACTACTAACCAGAAGGGTGGCGGTTCAAACCCACCAGCCACTCCCCAGAAAGAAGACTGGGCAATCTACTTCTGTAAAGATTTACCACCTCAGAAACCCAAAGAGGGTTGTTACGGGTCAGAACCAACTCGATGGCAGTGAGTTTGGTTTGGTTTTTGTTTTGTTTTGTTTTGTTTGCTGTTATCCCTATTTTGTTGGTTAAGAAACTAGGACTTAGCAAGGTCAAGAATACAGCCTAACAACCTGAAGCTGAGCTTAAACTCAGGCTGCCTGATGCCAGACTCCTCTGATCCATTAAGGGATGGAGGGCAGCCAGCGACTCAGCCAGTGTTCTGACCAGAACCAGACAATCATGACCTCAGGAGGAGAGGGAGTGGCGAGCAGCAGAGGGCTTACAGGATCGAGACAGCGGTTAGGCCACAGTGACCACAAATTGATGAGTCTCTGTCCACAGCCGAAAATATCCATCTAACCGCTCTGAACCTCATGGTAACCATCACTAAAGATAAACACCCAAAGCAACATGTCTGTTGTGTGGGAGCTCGGCTCATGACAACATTTCAGAAAAATGAAGGGCTTCTGCCAAAACAAAGCCCTTCAGCAAATTGTTTAACTTCTCTGGCCCTGTCTGCAAAAATGACAAAGTTAGACTGGGTAGTGCAATGTCTTAAAATTTTGTTCAACGAATACTTATTAAATATTTACTACATCCTTGATATACTCCAGTGAACAAAAAGACAAACAAAATAAATAAGCAGAGCAAACAAGTAAGTGGTAGAATGCTAACCAGGAACAGTGGCCATGAAGTTGACTCTGACTCCTGGAGACCCCATGTGTGTCAGAGTAGACTGGGCTCCATCGAGTTCCATTCAGTGGATGATATTTTTATAAGTAGATCACCAGGCCTTTCTTTCAAGGCACCTCTGGTGGACTCAAACTTTCAGCCTTTCAGTTAGCAGCTGAGTGCATTAACTGTTCGCACTACCCAGGGACAGACTGAATACTATGAGAAAATAAAGAGCACAGTGAGGGTGGGGTAGAGGGGGATGGGGCAGGAGCACTGGCGGTTCCAATCTTGCATAGAGTGAGGAGGGAAGGCTTTAGTGAGAAGATGGCATCTGAGCAAAGTGAACAGATGTGAGGAAGCTGTCCATGTAGATTTGGAAGAAGAGCATTCCAGGAGCCAGGAACAGCCAGGGCAAGTATGAGGACCAGCCAGGAAGGCAGTGTGTCTGGAACAGAGTGAGAGAAAGGACAGGGGGAGCTGGGGTCAGAGCAGCAACAGTGGCAGATGGTTTGGGCCTCATGGGCCATCTAAGGATTTTTACTTTTCCTCTGAGAAATGGGGCCACTGCAGAGTTCTGAGAAAAGGAAACTTAAGATTTGATTTACGTATCAAAGGACAGATCCTGCTGCTGTGCTGAGAACAGTCTGTGATGTGGCTGTGACTTAAGATGTAGGATTAGTTGAGAAAAGGCCTCCTAAAACTTGCCCAAGGAGTACTCAGAAGAAACATTGGGAATATACCCAGATGAGTGACAGCCTTGCAACCCTCTCCAGCCACCAGCCCTTGTGCTCCAGGCCCTGTGCCCAGGTGGCTCAGTGGATGACTTCCTTCCTCTCCTCAGGAAGTGCTGGCCTATTCCAACAGCTCCACCAGAGGCCAGGCATTTCTGAAACACCTGACTGACCTGTCGATCCGCGGCACCCTGTTCGTACCACAGAACAGTGGGCTGAGGGAAAATGAGGTGAGTGGAGTGCCTGGTGCCTTTTGGTCTAAGTCTGTATGTCTGCTTTAGACTAGTGCTTCTCAATCAGTTATCTTTTCCCACAATGAGGCTGTGTTGTGTCACAAGTCATCCCAAAACTCAGGGACTAAGCATTTATTGAGCTCAGAAGTCTGTGTGTGAGCTTGGAAGTTCTGGTCTTGGCCAAGCATGACCCCAGACCTGAGACTGGCTGGCCGGCAGCTGATCCAGGCTAACCTCAGCTGGGGCTCTACACCACCAGGCTCTTGTTCTCCAGCAGGCCAGCTTAGGCTAGCCTGTTCTTATGGTGATGGCAGGGAGCAAGAACGGGGAGAGCAAGCCCAGTCCCACCAGCACTTTTCAAGCATCTATTTGGTCATGTTTGTTAACATGCCCCTGACCCAGCAGGTCATGTGGCCAAGTACAGAGTCAAGGTTGGGAGGCTCTCAGAGTTACATGGCAAAGGGTAAGGATACATGGAAGGGGAAGAACCAGGGTTGTTGATGCAATCAGCATACCACACAGAGGCACACAGGGGAGTCAGGAGTATTTATTTGATGTACCCATAAGTGGCTGGCTGTAGGCTTGGACAGACCTAGGCCCTGCCTAGCCACTGAGGAGTTGGGAGGAGCAATACCTTGGCCCACATTACCCACTTGTCTTGCTTTCTCAGTGCTGCTATGATGAAAATACAAATGGGTGGCTTTAATAAACACACTTATTTTCTCACAGTTTAAGAGCCTAGAAGTCCAAATTCAGGGCACTGGCACTAGAGCAAGACTCTCTCTGTCTGCTTTGGAGGAAAATTCTTGTCTCAGCTTCTCTAGTGCTCTTCTCAGTGTTCCTTGGAGATTATTACCATGTGGCATCTACTTTTCCGCCATTCCAGCCTGCTTCTCTTTGTGCCTGATTTGCTCTTTTTATACCTTGTAAGTAAGTAGATTTAAGGCACACCCTAGACTGATACGCCTCATTAACAAACAAAGGAAAGCCTATTTCCAAATGGGATTACATCCACGGGTATAGAGGGTCAGGATTCCAGCACATATTTTGGGGGGGACACAATTCAATCCATAACATAACAAGGCCTACTCTTTCCAGCACAACACTGGGAGGCTGGGCTTCAGACAACAGACAAAACTTCCAGTGACACATCTTAGCTATAGGTGGGTCTCTGGAAGAGCCCCCAAACAACCTACTGCCATCGAGTCAATTCCAACTCATAGCAACCCTATAAAACAGAGTAGAATTAGAACTTCCTCATAGGGTTTTCAAAGCTGTCAATCTTTACAGAAGCAGACTGCCTCATCTCTCTCCAATAGGAAGACTGGTAGTTCAAAATGCTGACCCTGACCTTTTGGTTAACACCCCAATGCTTTAACCACAGTACCACCAGAGCTCCTTCTGACAGAGTCCAGAAAACCAAAAGCCTCAGAAAAGCTTGATCATTCTTGATGGCCACATGAAAGCAGAAAAGCCAAGTCTGTGAGAAGTGATAGTCATTCTAACTGTGACACCTTTACCTTTAAAAAAGAAAAGAATTACTGTTTGGTCTTTCCAGACCATTCTTGTGTTTCTTCTTTCCTCTCAGACGCTGTCTGGGCGGGACATAGAGCACCACCTCGCCAATGTCAGCCTCATGTTTTACAACGACCTCGTTAACGGTACCATTCTGCAAACCCAGCTGGGAGGCCAGCTGATTATCACCTCCAGCCAGGACCAGCCCCATCTGGTATGAAAAGTCTTCTGGGCACATTGGGAGAACTGCATGATACTGCAAAAGTCCCACTATACAGTAGGTGCTTAATAGATGGCAACTAGTATAATGTGAAAGTAAGCTCTCAACCTGGAGCTATGGGAGGTGATAGCTGCATATAATAGTACACTGACTGGCAGGTAGCCCCTACCCCTTGAGAGACAGGCCTGTGGTCCCCTGCTGGCCTCAGAAGCTGGTAATGAGAAATGATCAATTAAACCCATTTCAAAAACCATCTGATTCTCCATTTTTATTTCTATCGGATTGTTGATGTATCCCAGATATTTGCATGCAAGCTTAGGAGTTAAATGACTTAGGTTTGGATCCCAGTTCTATCACTGGAAGCTTAGACAAGTTACCCAACCTCTCCATATTTCCATTTCCTCTGTTGAAACAGAGATGGTGATGATGGTTGAAACAGGTGATGGTGTTGTTGATGACTATGATGACCATTATGTCCAAATCATAGGCTGTTGTGGGGATTCAGTGAGTCAGGCTTTCAAAGTCCTTAGAACAGGGCCTGACATGAAGCAAGTGCTCAATGAGTGTTATTTTCACATCTTTACCTGATAAGTGATTTCTCTTATTGAGGATCATTTAGACAAGTGCTTCTCAAATTTTAATGTGCACGTCAACCATCCAGGGATCTGGTTAAAATGAAGACTGTGACCCATGAGGTGGGGTGTAGAGACCCAGGTTCTGCACTTCTAATGAGCTCCCAGGTGAAACCAATACCACACTTTTAGCAAAGACTTAGGTCACTTAAAACATCCCTTTTATTAACAGTGGGTGTGATGCTGGAGTCCACAGTATGGGGTTGCCACTTCTACCTGGGTGATCTTGGACAAGTCACTTCCCCACTTGGTGCCTCTCATCCCTTGCTGTCAGACCAATGGGTTGGATGAAATGACCCCTGGATTTAAACTTCAGTCATTAGCTTTTTGGCACAGGGGCACTGATACATTCTGGGCCGTGCAGATAGCGAGTGACAGTGCAATGGTGTCTTTTAGTGAAGACGGGCTAGAAACCCTGGCTCCAAGGTCATGGGGAAGCTGAACAACTTCCACCAGTGAAAGGCCTGCTCACACAGCGAGGAAAAACCTGGTGACCTCAGTTCTCCATCAATCCTCTTCTCATTTCTCCAGAAGGAAACCAGGTTTGTCAATGGAAGAGCCATTCTGCAGTGGGACATCTTTGCCTCCAATGGGATCATTCATGTCATTTCCGGACCTTTAAAAGCACCCCCCACTCCAGTGGTAAGTACCCAGAGAGCCTGATGAGGGGCCAGGAGAAACCCCAATGCCCACTCCCCCAGTGCTAAACTTGCTGGAAGCCCCTCCCATCACCCTGCTCCACTGGAGACTGGAGGAGCCTCCTGCATCCAGGGCAGCTGGCTCCAGGGATACCCATCCCTGGTTCATCTCACCCCTACTCCCATGCAGTAGCAATGTAGTACCTGTTACTATTAATATCTGTCAATGAAAGAGGCAGAAGAGGCCAATGGGGAAACCAGAAGGGGAACAGGACATCCTGATTTCTCGTTCTTGTCCCTCTACTTCAACAACAGTGACTTTGGACAAGTCCAGGAACATCTCTGAGCCCATTTTTGCATGTGAAAAATTGGGATCATAATGTCTTCCCCCTGGGTTCTTGGGAGAACTGTAAGTTAATAAATACAGAATCCTTACACCAGCCCTTGGCACAGAGTTGTTGATAGTATTCTAACCTTCTCCAAAAAGTGTCAGGGAAAAGTAAGCACAACCAGCTGCTGGAAGGTTCCATAGCATTATGGTTAAGAACATAAACTCTTGTGCCAGCCTGCTGGCTATGTGATCTTGGGCAAGTACTTAACCTCTCTGTGCCTCCATTCCCCCATATGGAAATGTGACAATAATAATTGCCCGTTTCTTTAGGCCCATCACTCGTCTGTCAGTTTGTCATACTGTGGTGCCTTGTGTATTGCTGTGAGGCTGGAGGCTATGCCACCTATATTTGAAATACCAGCAGGTTTACCAACCATAGTGGACAGGTTTCAGCAGAGCTTTCAGACTAAGACAGACTTTGAAGAAGGAAGAGGCCATCCACTTCTCAAAGAATTGTGAAAACATTACGAACAGCAATGAAACACTGTCTGATCTATTACTGGAAAACTTTATGAATACCCCTAAAACATTGTCTAATACAGTGCCAGAATATGAGCCCCTCAGGTTGCAAGGCACTCAAAATATGACTGAGGAAGAACTGCCTCCTCAGAGTCGAGTCGACCTTAATGATGTGCATGCAGTAAAGTTGGGAGCTCTGGTAGCATAGTGCCTAAGGCACTTGACTGCTCACCAGAAGGCTGGCGGTTCAAACCCACCAGCCACTCCTCGGAAGGAAGGTTGGGCAATCCTACTTCCGTAGTGATACTGCCTCGGAAACCCAAGGAGGGGTCGCTATGAGTCGGGGCCGACGCGACGGCAAAACAACAACAACAACAACAACAGCAGTAAAGTTTTCAGGACCTCCATTTGCTGATGTGGCAAGACTCACAACAAGAAGAAACAGCTACAAACATCTGTTAGTAAATGGAACATGGAGTGTACAAAGTATGAATCTAGGGAAATTGAAGTTGTCAAAAATTAAATGGCATGCATAGATTGATACCCTAGGCATTAGTAAGCTGAACTGGACTGGTATTGGCCATTTTGAATCAGACAACCATATGATCTACTATGTGGGAATGACAAATTGAAGAGGAATGGCATGGCATTCATTGTCATGAAGAATGTTTCAATATCTACCCTGAAGTACAATGCTGTCAGTGATAGGATAATATCCACATGCCTACAAGGAAGACCAGTTAATGCGACTATTATTCAAATTTATGCACCAACCACCAAAGCCAAAGAAATTAACGATTTTTACCAACTTCTGCAGTCTGAAATTGACCAAACATGCAATCAAGTTGTGTTATCAAGTTGATTATTACTGGCGATTGGAATGCAAAAGTTAGAAACAAAGAAGAATCACTGGTAATTGGGAAATATGGCCTTGGTGGTAGAAATGATGCTGGAGATAGTGTGGTAGTATTTTGCAAGACCAACGACTTATTCGTTGCAAATATCTTTTTTCAACAACATAAACAGCAGCTATACATGTGAACTTCTCCAGATGGAGTACACAGAAATCTGATCAACTACATCTGTGGAAAGAGGTGATGGAAAAGCTCAGTATCTCCAACCAAAACAAAGCCAGGAGCTGATTGTGGAACAGACCATCAACTGCTCAGATGCAAATTAAAGTTGAAGCTGAAGACAATTAAAAGAAGTCCACGAGCACCAAAATATGACCTTGATTATATCCCTCCTGTATTTAGAGAACATCTAAAGAACAGATTTGACCATTCTTTAGGTTCTCCAATGACCAAGAACCAGCAGAATTGTGGGATGACATCAAGAACATCATCCATGAAGAAAGCAAAAGGTCATTAAAAGGACAGGAAAGGAAGAAAAGACCAAAATGGATGTCAGAAGAGACTCAAATTTGCCCTTGAACAGAGAGTAGCTAAAGCAAATCGAAGAAATGACAAGATAAAAGAGCTGAACAGAAGATTTCAAAGAGCAGCTTGAGAAGACAAAGTCAATTATTACAATGAAATGTGCAAAGGCTTGGAGTTAGAAAACCAAAAGGGAAGAACACACTCAGCATTTCTCAAGCTGAAAGAACTGAAGAAAAAATTCAAGCCTCGGGTAGCAATACTGATTCTATGAGCAAAATATTGACTGACACAGGAAACATCAAAAGAAGATGGAAGGAACACACAGAGTCACTATACCAAAAAGAACTGGTCGATCTTCATCCATTTCAGGTGGTGGCATATGATCAAGAACCAATGGTACTGAAGGAAGAAGTCGAAGCTGCACTGCAGGAACTGACAAAGAACAAAGCCCCAGGAATTGATGGAATACACATTGAGATGTTTCAACAAACTAATGCTGCATTGGAGGTGCTCGCTCATCTATGCCAAGAAATTTGGAAGACAGCTACCTGGCCAACTGACTGGAAGAGATCCATATTTATACCCATTGCAAAGAAAGGCAATCCAATAGAATGTGGAAATTATCTAATAATATCATTAGTATCACATGCAAGTAAAATTTTGCTGAAGATAATTAAAAAGTGATTGCAGCAGTATATTGGTAGAGAGCTTTCAGAAATACAAGCTGGATTCAGAAGAGGACATGGAACAAGGCATATCATTACTGATGTCAGATGGATCTTGGCTGAAAACAAGGAATACCAGAAAGATGTTTACTTGTGTTTATTTACTACTCAAAAGCATTTGATTGTGTTGATCATAACAAATTGTGTATAACATTGAGAAGAATAGGAATTCCAGAATACTTAATTGTGCTCATAAGGAACCTGTACATAGACCAGGAGGCTGTCATTCAAACAGAACAAGGGCATACTGTATGGTTTAAAATCTGGAAAGGAGTGTCAGCGTTGCATCCTTTCACCATACTTACCAATATGTATGCTGAGCAAATAATCTGAGAAGCTGAACTATATGAAGAAGAGTGTGGCATCAGGATTGGAGGAAGACTCATTAACACCTTTGATATGCAGACGACACAACTTTGCCTGCTAAAAGTAAAGAAGACTTGAAGCACTTATTGATGAAGATTAAAGACACCAGTCTGCAGTATGGATTACACTTCAACATAAAGGAAACGAAAATCCACACAACTGGACCATAAGCTGCATCATGATAAATGGAGAAAAGATTGAAGTTGTCAAAGATTTCACATTACTTGGTTCCATAATCAACGCCAATGGAAGCAGCAGTCAAGACATCAGAAGATATATTGCACTGGGCAAATCTGCTGCAAAAGACCTCTTGAAAGTGCCAAAGAACAAAGATGTCTTCTTTGAAGGCTAAGGTGCGCCTAACCCAAGCCATGGTATTTTCAATCGTCTCATGAGCATGTGAAAGCTGGACAATGAATACAGAAGACTGAAGAAGAGTTGATGCTTTTGAGTTGTGCTGTTGGTGAAGAAAACTGAAAGTACCATGGTCTGCTAAAAGAACTAACAAATCAGTCCTGGAAGAAGTGCAGCCCAATGCTCCTTGGAAGCGAGAATGGCCAGACTTTGTCTCACCTACTTTGATTATGTTGTCAGAAGGGACCATTCCCTGGAGAAGGATATCATGCTTGGGAAAGTGAAGGATCAACAAAAACGGGGAGGACCCTCAACAAGATGGATTAACACAGTGGCTGCAATGATGGGCTCAGGTATGGCAAGGACGGTGAGGCTGGCGCAGGACTGGGCAGTTTCGTTCTGTTGTACATAGTGACACTATGAGTTGGAGCCAACTGGACAGCACATACAAGAAATCTCTTTAGGCTGTTATAATACGTAAATTGAGTATTTCATGTAAGGGCTTATTACAGTTCCTGGAAAAATAGTACAGGCTTGATACTTCTTGTTCTGGTTACCTAGTGCCTCTCTGACAAGAATATACCACAAATGGGATGGCCTTAACAAACAGGAGTATATTCTTACAATTTGGAGGCTTTAAGTCCAAGTTCAGAGTGCCAGGTTCTAGGGGCTGAGTGAAAGCCCTTCAACCTTGGGGTCCAGCTCTGCCTCCTGCTCCTGGCCCACTGGAGCTAGGCATTTCTTCACTCAGACAGCAGTTGGCTGCTGAGGCTGAGAAGTCCCAAGGTTGACAAGTAAAAAGGCACAGTCCCAATGCTACCAATCCACATGGCAGGCCATTAACTTAAGTCTACTTTAAGTCCCAAGGTCGGCAGAGCAAAGCAGGCTGCTGAGGAACGACATGGCTTCATGCAGGGTCCAATCGTGCCATAAGCTAGAGACCATTCTCAAAACTTCTCCTTATATACAGCAAGCAGACTACATACCCAAAGGCAGCTACTCAGCTGCTCATAGTAGATTCCACCATGGAGTTAATTACCAGTCTCATCATGGGGAATCCGACATCCAGCTGCCCAGGCCCAGCCAAGTTGACACACAAACATAACCACAACACATGTTAAACATTTTATCATTATTTTTTATCTCCACTGGCTCCAAGATGCATCAGGGCAACAAGATCAGGGTGGGCTCTAGCAAGTGCATTCCTCCTAGGGAGTTGTTACCCAGTTTTAAATATTGACTCCCCCTCCCCTTCCTGTGTGCAGACCTCAGCCCACTCTGGCTTGGGAACAGGGATATTCTTTGCTGTCATCCTGGTCCTTGGAGCCATTGCTTTTGCTGCGTATTCTTACTTTCGGCTAAACCGGAGAACAATTGGATTTCAGCACTTCGAGGTAAGACAGATAGATAGGAACACAGTGAAGGGGTCCTCTCCTAAATCCAGCCCCTGGCTCTGGGCTGCTTCAGCTGGCTGTGTGATGCTTTAGCCTTACCAAAGCAATGGATACTGAGCACAGGGCAGGAGCCGCCACCTGCCACACACTTCCTGTCTCCTGGGTTGGGGTCTGTGCCCCCAAGGGGAGCAGCAGTGGCAGCTCTAAGCCCCTCTTCTTGGCTGAGACAGGGCTATGGTGAGGAGGGCGAGGGGCTGCAGCAGCACCTCTGGACCCCCATGAGCTGAGGACTAGCATGGAGGCAAATCCACCAGGGACCCAGGAGTTGCCCTAGCCTTGGAGGACTTACTAGACAAACACCCATTACGACCAGCTTTGGGCTTCAAGCCTGACTCTGAGGGTAGGGGACCTGGACAGAAGCCTCACACTGCAGCCAGCATGGGAGAAAACACCTGGTGATGTTCTCCTGTAAAGACTACAGCCTAGAAACCCTACAGGGCAGTTCTACTCTGTCCTATTGGCATAGTGCAAAAGTCACATGGGTGCTAACCAGGTCAGCAATTCCAACCCCCCAGCCTCTCTGTGGAAGGAAGATGGGGTGATCTACTTCCATAAAGATTTACAGCCCCAGAAACTCAGTGGGGTTGCTATGAGTCAGAACTGACTTGACGGCAGTGAGTTTGGTTTTTCTAATAGTCACTATGAGTCAGAATCCACTTGAGTGCACACAATACCATCTTTGCAGGAACTGATCACCAGGCTTTCTCCTGCAGAGCCACTGGGGACCCTGCTGGGGTGTGTGTGGAAATGCTCTATATCCTGATCTCAGCGGTGGTCCCAAAGGGTAGACAGACACAAGAAGTCAAAAGGCTAAAGAGTGGTGCATTTTATTGTATAGAAATCTTCTCAGTAAAGTTCTGTTAAAAAGAAAAAGCTCCTGGAGGTGGGGAGTGGCTTGCATTACCTTCCAACTTGCATTGCCTTGGGGACAGTCCTCTCAGGCTCGTGCTTGTCTTTCCAAACAGTCGGAAGAGGATCTCGATGTTGTGGCTTTCGGCAAGGAGCAGCCTGAGAATATCTCCAACCCTACATACGAGAGCACAACCTCCGCTCCCCCAGACCTGTCTTCCGACCCCTTCACGGTGAATCTCTGTTTTTGTCTTGGGGCAGGGGCAGGTAGGGTGCAGAGGAATGATGCCTTTCAGCAAATGTCAGTGGAAAGCTTTTGCACCAAGAAAAATCTCACGTGTGGAATGTGTCTCAAGACAGCCAGTCCAAAAGTTGGTGTTGCAAGCTGGCGGAAGCCAGCCAGCTTGGCTGTTAGTTCCTGGGTTCTTTTGGGTAGAGAGCAGATTACTGTCGTCAGCTGCTGCCAAGTCAGCTCCAAATCACGGAAGCCTTATGTACAACTGAACGGAACGCTGCCCAGGCCTGCTCGATCTTCACGACCATTGGCGTGCCCGAATCCACTGTTGCAGCTTCTGTGTAGTGCCTTCCAACCTGGGGGCTCATCGGCCAGCACCGCGTCAGACAGTACTCTGTTGTGATTCAGAAGGTCTTCTCTGTCCAGTCTTTAGAAATAGGTCACCAGGCCTTTCTCCTTAGTCTTAGTCTGGAAGCTCCCCCGAGCCCTGTCCACCATGGGTGACCTTGCTGGTGTTTGGAACACCAGTGGCATAGCTTTCAGCATCATAGCAACATGCAAGCCACTACAGTATGACAGACTGACAGATGAGTGGTGGGAATGGCAGAAGCCTCCCATAATTAGAGGCAGGGGAGATCTCCAGGTCACCCGTACCCCAAGCTCATGATCAGAGAGATGTCACAATGAAAGGAAGTCTCCAACTGAATTCTGCCAAGAATATTCATCACATTTATGAGGTGCTATTGTTAGGTGCCGTGGAGTCAGCTCCAACTCAAAGCAACCCCATGTACAATGAAACACTGCCCAGTCCAACACAATCCTTGCTCTCCATGAGTCCATCATTGCAGGCACTGTGTCAATCCATCTCACTGAGGGTCTTGCCCTTCTTCAATGACCCTCATTTATGAGGTAGCAGGTGCAAAATAAGGCATAGAAAGGATTTTTCTTCTAGCTGTCATTTGAAACGATAATTCACATTGTTGTCCAAGACTTTTCCCTCGGCTATCAGAGCTGCCTCTCCTTTTGAAGCCACTTGTCTCTGACGAAGCCTTCCATATCTATAGGTGGGTGTTCTGCTCTGGTCTTCCAAGAAATCAATACCATTGCCATGGAGTAGATGACTAGGCCTTTCTTTTGGGATGTCTCTGGGTGGACTTGAACCACCAACCTTTCAGTTAGCAGCTGAGTATGTTAACCATTTGCACCACGAAGAAACCCCACTCTTCCAGGAAGGGCTTGTTTAATCCTAGAGCCAGTGGTCCCTGAGCTTAGATGGGACCTCTAGGGACAACATCAACACAGGAGGAACCCATGGCAAGTAGTCCACCCACATAAATGTGGAAGTTGTACACTGCTTCTAGTTTATTACCAGTTCTGGACTGAGAAGCTGGGGATGAAGTTAATTTATTCCTTTATATAAAAATCAGAAAACTTGACCAGCAGTCCTCGGTTACCTCAAGAGGCTAACAGCTGACAGCATGGCTCAGGTCCAAGGAAACATCTGAATTTTGCCTTGTGTGGGGTCCACAAAGCTTGTGTAATATTAACTGAAGCCACATAGCTGCTGTCATTGGTTTGCACGTGTATGCATGCTCTCCACTCCCCCCAAGATCAGACTGTGTTATTGAATTTAAGTGGCACTGCAACATTACAAAAAGTATTTTCTTGCATCATTTTTAAGTTGTATACTGCAATGGATGTTATTATTTCTTTGAAGTAAACCAAACAAATATCTTGTAGGTCTTAGTGCCTACAGTAGCAGATTAAATGTATCTGCAATAGATTGAAAAATACCAGATTACAAATCCTATTTTTTTTAATGTAACCCATGTAAAAGTTCCCGGTCCAAATTGCAAAGGAGCTCTGGTAGCATAGTGGCTAAGGCACTTGACTACTAACCAGACGGCTGGTGGTTCAAACCCACTAGCCACTCCTCGGAAGGAAGGTTGGGCAATCCTACTTCCGTAGTGATACTGCCTCGGAAACCCAAGGAGGGGTCGCTATGAGTCAGCTCTGACTCGACGGCACATAACAACAACAACAGCCCAGCTAGATTGCGTTTATTAGTTAATAGGAATTTATTTCTGCAAGCACTTGTATATTAAATTCAGTCACATTACAAAAAACCCCACTGCCATCAAGTCCATACCAACTCACAGCAACCCTACAGGACAGAGTAGAACTGCCTCATAAGGTTTCCAAGGCTGTACATCTTTCAAAAGTAGACTGCCTCATCTTTCTCCCGCAGAGCAGCTGGTGGGTTCCAACCGCTGACCTTTTGGTTAGCAGCCTAATGCCTTAGCCACTGCACCATCAGAATTCTTTTTCATTCCAAAAGTGTGGGGAGGGGGAGAGTGTCATACATCCTGTTCACCGAGCTCCATGCCTTCCCAGCTGTCTGTCTCCTAAGGGCTCCATCAGCACCACACCTAAACAATTCACCTGAGACAGGTGAGATGGTGTCCAAAAGCAGGATTCAGGTAAACCTTCTATTGAGTCCTGGTGACAAAAAATCTTCTAGTAACAAGAATCCTAAGCCTAGGGTGCCCAGTCAAAGAATAATATGCTACTCTCATGCCTTTTATATTGAAAGGTGAGGGGGGCTGTTCATAATGGTGACCAGACGTCTTGAAGACCACTAATTTCACCCATTAGAAACCAATTCTAGCACCCATTATGCTCATTACCAAACCTTGGGTGCTGATCAGTGCTAACAGAAGGTGTGGAGCAGCTTTGATTACACTCAAACACTAAAGAACACCCTTGTTTCAGGATGAGTTTTCAACCTGAATTTATTTAGAATCATGTTGCTGTTAGCTGCCATCCAGTCAGCCCCTGACTGACGGTGCCCGTGTACAACAGAACCAGGGCTTCAAACCAGTTCATTCTGGTTCAACGCCCTGCCAAGAATGTGCATTCCCAGCTCAGATATACTGAATCAGAATCGACATTTTACCAGTTCACCAGGGGCTTGGGGACGAATCACAATGTAGGCCTCAGACCAGTTGCCAAAAGAAATGCCCATCCTCAAAGAATTAAGCAAACAGAACATTCCAGGTCCTTTCTGAGCGTTTCACCGACTTCTTTCTTTCCAGGACGCTGATGAACAGCAGCTCAAGAGCCGCGACCCCCTCGGGGGACTCTGAGGGCCAGAGCCGTCACCCACTGGGCCAACGGAGCTTCCTCAAAAAGGCCATCAACTGTGAACCCTCAGCACCAGCGGCCTGTGGGGAATGCGAAGCCCTTTAACATTTTAAAGTCTGAAGCTCACAGAAGCTGTACCTCATCTCTTGGGTTAATCCGGGGTTATTACGTATCCATGGGGAAAGACTACTTAATACCATGGTTCCCTGTGTGCCCATCAACCCAGGTAGACTTCTCCCACCTCTCACCCTCTACTGCTCTTCCTTTGTTCTTTTCAGTGGCACTACGTTATGGGTATCTGTGATCTCCTCTTATGTCCCAATTAGATTGTAAGTTCCCAAAGGCAGAGACTGTGCCCCATTCATCTTTGTATCCTAGTGCCTGGCACATGAAATGTGCTCAATAAACATTTATCAAACAGAAATGAAGTTAGCTGAACAAATCTAGTGAGCAGATACGGTGGGAAACAAAAGCTACAGTGGGAAACAGTCTTCTGACAAAGGAGGGCTGAACTTTGAAGGCAAAATCCACTTATTAGAGCTAATTAGAGCCCTCTCAGTCAGCATCTGCCTTATAGAATTCCTTCATAATAAAGTGTGCTTGCTTGTTTAAGAAAACATGATAACCACAATGAGATACCACTTCATACCTACAACGGCTACAATCAAAAAGCTGAACAATAACAAGAGATGGCAAGGACGTGGAGAAACTGGAATGCTCATGTTGCTGATGGGAATGTAAAGGTGCAGCTGCTATCGAAAACACTTCCTCAAAAAGTTAAACCTAGAATGACCGTATGGCCTAGCAATTCTGTTCTTAGATGTCTGTCAAGGAAAAATGAAAAATATGCCCACACAAAAACTTACACATGAGTGTTGAGAGCAGCATTATTCACAACAGTGAAAAGGTGGAAACAACCCAAGTGTCCATCAACTGATGAACAGATAAATAGAATGTGGTACATTTGTACAATGGAATATTACTTGGTCCTAAAAAGGAATGAAATTCCGGTGTGTGCTAGGATATGGATGAAACTTAAAAATATTTAAAAAGCTGGTCAAAAAGGTCACTGGAAAAAAAAATTAGAAAGGTATGATTCCATTTACATGAAATGTCCAAAACAGGTAAATCCATGTTGTTGTTGTAGTTATGTGCCGTTGAGTTGGACCCGACTCATAGCGACCCCTCCTTGGGATTCTGAGGTGGTATCTCTACAGAAGTAGATTGCCCAACCTTCCTTCCGAGGAGTGGCTGGTAGGTTTAAACCTCCAGCCTTCTGGTTAGCAGTCCAGTGCTATAAATCCATACAGACAGAAATTAGTTTCATGGTAACCAGAGGCTGGGAGCAGGCAGAATGGGTGGTGATGGACCAATGGACACAGGGTTTCTTTTAGGAGTAATGAAAATGATCCAGCATTCAATAGTAGTGATGGTTCTATCACCTTGTAAATATACTAAAAAACATTGAATTGTACCCTTTGAAAGGGTAAATTT